ATACACGTTTTACGATGTGTCGACTGTTATGTTGTTGCTTCTGTCGCAAGAAGAAAAAGCCGCGAGATGTAAAAAAGGGTAAAAAGGGAAAGAAAGATGGAGGTCTTGTTGTTGTGAAACCGACTAAGCCTAAGAAGCGTCGCCATGGAGGAGTAGAAATACAAGCAGACGCATGCTGCTGTTGTGGCGGCGGAGATGGCGGAGGTGGAGACGGTGGTGGTGGATGTGGAGGCGGCGGCGGTGGCTGTGGAGGTGGAGGCGGCGGTGGTGGCTGCGGAGGTGGAGGTGGGGGCGGTTAAAAAATTGAGGTCTCCTGTAATTCTTATGTAATGATGACTTCTTGTGTGTGTAGTGGATTTTTGTTTTTCGTTTTGGTCAACCGTATCCACATTATATATGCAATGTAAAATTCTTATAAAAATAGTGTAATGTAAATTGAATGTATGATACATAAATATAAGGCATTATATGTTTATTTTATTTTCTATGAAAAATAGCTATATAACTTGGTTAAATTTCATTAGCTAATTAAAATATGCAAGTGAATGTCTTTGGTAGCAATCATTTTGCCGTTTTAGACTTTGGAAATACATGTTTTGAGATGAATATTCATGACAAAGAATGGATATTCTCCTCCATGACCAGAAACATCAACTAAGCTGTGTAAGTGAAAAACTCAAAACAAGCTGTATAGTAACTTATAAATAAAGTATTGCAGAAAAGAAAAAGTAATCAAAAAGAAAATGTCGCATTTCTTAATTTTTGCTAGTAAAATCAAAATTTATATTGCAATTTCGTATACATTTTATATATTAGGACATTATTTTCGCATAATTTTTGGTATTGATTCCATTTCACTAAAAAAAGTAATGGATGCTCTTGTTGTTGTCATTGTTATAGTATGTACCGGTATTGTTTTCTGTCGATTGTCTTATGCTGTGTCCTCACCCAGAGGAAAAAATAAAAGCCGTTAAAGTCATAAATTAGATTATATTCAAATTGGAAAAAGTAAGCCCTATGCGATGATGTATTTGGAATTTGAAGTATGACGCGTGACGTGTGACGCACGTACGTATTGTTGAATGAGTCTGAGTGGGAAATGCATGGGAGGTCACATGATTAGTTTATACGTATAGTATTTTTTTTTTTACGAGATTATATTAAATCTGTTTTACAAAAATAGCGGAGATATATAGTTAAAATAAAATAAAATAAAAACAAAAAAATTAAACTGAAACAAATAGCTTGATCACAATTTTCTTTAGTACAAATATATTTTATATTTATTAACAAGAAAAAAATCTGTTCAATATATATAATCCGTGACCTGACCAATCAAATTGTCCGGCTTAATAAAATAATAAAAGTTTGCTTCTCGGATTGGGTTTGAAAATACAAATAAAAACCTAATATAAAGTCAATGGTTAAGTTGAGTTCTAAAAGTAAGTGAACGAGAGGTTCGTAAAGGCTCACGATCTCTATATACACATCTTGTTGTTCCCTTTTGTAAAAAGTGAAAATCACAAATTAAACAAAAAGAAGTCGATCGAGATGAGTCCTGTGGCTATTTTGTTTATAGTGTTTGGTGCATTTATGTTGCTTTTGTTCATCCTATGGCTCATTCACTTTCTCTACCACAAAGCTAAGAAAGATGGCAAAGAAAGCATCGCCTGTCTCGGCAGTGGTTATGGCGGCGATTTCGGCGGTTGACTTCAATTGTATCCGTGGCTTTTTGATATTGGTTTATTAATGCTATATACGGTTTATCACATATAAACCATATATACTTGTATAAATACCACTCATGTACCTCTACTTTAAACTCAATCACATTATAAGCCATCTTTTATTTTACTAACCACTCGTGTACATCTATTTTATACTCATGTGCAGTACAACTTCGATATTTTTGTTAAGGTTTATATTGACAAGATCTTCTCTCTTTTTTGGGGGGTAAAATTGACAAGATGTTCTTAACATATGTATTTTGTAAAAGAGAAATATGCGCAAGTAGTCAAAGAGTGTGATAATGGTTAAATCAAAACAAAAAGTTGATTGTGTGAACCAGTCCTGATTTCCCTAAAACAGTATAATTATTAAAAATAAAAAAATTCAATCGTCAACGAAACAACTTCCAAATACAAAGTCTCAATAAAATGACTCAGCTGCAAAACCTTTATTTGTATATATAATAAGAAGCTACACATAGCCAAAGAGAGAATTATTGTTTCTCTCTTTAAATCTAAATCATAATTTAGAAAAGAAAAGAAAAAAGGAATCATAATTTAGAAATCAAGTAAGACAAAAATCGATGACTCCTTTGAAGAGTATGGACATAGTGATTGGAGTAATATTCATGATAATATTCATCTTATGTCTCTTCTACTTCCGTTACAGCAAGAGTCAGAATGACGGTCGGAAAGAAAACACCACCGGCTGCTGCTGAAGCGGCACGACTTGTCACTTTAACGGTTGCTTCGTTTTCTCTTGTATCATGTCGTGGTTTCTTTTGAAGATTTTTTGTTATTTTATATATGAAAGACTTATCATTTGTTTTTTTTTTTTTTGACAAAAGGTATATATTTGTTTTTCAAATATGAAAGAGTTATGATTTGTATTTGTGTGAGCAATATGTAGAGAAGATCAACGTATATATTCACCACGAAGTCCTCTGAAAAACATTTTTGACACTTTCAACCTAATACTAATAAATAGAGTGTTTTAAGTATTTTTATGATTTTTTATTGTTATATATTTATATCATAATTTTTTAATTGAAAACATACACGAACTAATAAACCGATATCATATTACTATATGCTTTTTAATATAAAAAATGAGATGATAAAACTTTAATTGACTTAATAATTATTATATATTAAAGTTGAGTATATTATAATATATATAGAATATCATATATCTCATTAATTATTTTAGCTACAGAAATAATTCCTAAGCTTAACAGAATTTGAAACTTCTTAAAATATTTTCAAATTGTCAGATTGTTGTATATGGTTAGAAAGCATTTTTAAAATTAAATAATATCAAATATAAAAATGGCTGGATAATATTCAGTCCAAGAGAAGGAAAAAAAACATACAAGATTAAATCCAACACAAATTAAATGGAAAAAAAACCAAATTCAATTGAAATAATAATTAAAAAATATACTCAGAATTATAGCAGCATTATCTAACTAGATATCGTTATACTAGTTACATCCACCGCCGCCACACCCTCCACCGCCTCCGCTGCCACCACATCCTCCACCACCACCACCATGATGTCCGCCGCCGCCACATCATCCTCCACCAACACCATTATGATGTCCGCCACCGTGATGGTGGCCGCATTAGCCGGAACCAGAGACAGTAGGATAAAACAAAAAGTCACCATTGGTGCTTGTTACAGCTGCTCTACTTCTCTGGATGTTGAGATTATACGTAGGTAATGTTTCCTTCTCCTTCAAAAACTCACGTTTTGCTTCTTAACGAATGCAACCGTATTTATAGTCATCATCAGCTAATAGTATTTGGAATAGGATATGTATTTAAGCAAATAACAACAATTATCATATTAAGAAGTAAAACATAAATAACACAATTTTGTTACTAATATTATGTATTAAATAAATAACTCCAAGAAGAAAACTCATATACCTCAATATTAGCAGAGCTTGGTTCAGGTGTGGATAAGTTCTCAGCACCACTTTACAGGCTTTACTGTGAAGAATACATACACAAACCAATCCATTAGTTTGTTTATAGTGTTTGGCTATTTCGATCAAGATGAGTCCTGTGGCTAATTTTTTTATAGTGTTTGGTGCATTTATGTTGCTTTTGTTCATCCTATGGCTCATTCACTTTCTCTACCACAAAGCTAAGAAAGATGGCAAAGAAAGCATCGCCTGTCTCGGCAGCGGTTATGGCGGCGATTTCGGACATAGTGATTGGAGTAATATTCATGATAATATTCATCTTATGTCTCTTCTACTTCCGTTACAGCAAGAGTCAGAATGGCGGTCGGAAAGAAAACACCACCGGCTGCTGCTGAAGCGGCACGACTTGTCACTTCAACGGTTGCTTCGTTTTCTTTTGTATCATGTCGTGGTTTCTTTTGAAGATTTTTGTTATTTTATATATGAAAAGACTTATCATTTGTTTTTTTTTGACAAAAGGTATATATTTGTTTTTCATATCAACATTTTTGTTTTGTTGATCATTTTTTACAAAAATTATATATATGCTTTTCAAACATGAAAGAGTTATGATTTGTGTTTGTGTGAGCAAAATGTAAAGAAGATCACCGTATATATATTTCACCACGAAGTCCTCTAAAGAACATTGTGACACTTTCATCAATCTAATAATAAAAAGAATGTTTAAAATGTTTTTTTATGATTTTATATTGTTATATACTTATATCATAATTTTTCAATTGAAAACATACACGAACTAGTAAATTATTAGAAATCTCAAACGTAAAAAATGAGATAAAATAATGAATAATATATGCTATATGGTATCTCTAATATAGATATTACTATACGCTTTTTAATATATAAAAAGATGATAAAATTCTAACTTAATAAGTATTATATATTAAAGTACAAAAGAAATTATTTATTAAGTAGAGTATATTATAACATATATATAGAATATCATATATCTCATTAATTATTTTAGCTAGAGAAGTATATCCTAAGGTTAACAGAATCTAAAAATTCCTAAAATATTTTCAAATCATCAGATTGTTGTATTTTTAAATGGTTAGAAAGCATTTTAAAAATTAAATAATATCAAATATAAAAATGCCTGGATAATATTCAGTCCAAGAGAAGAAAAAAACATACAAAATTAAATCCAACACAAATTAAATGAAAAAAATAATCAATTGAAATAATAATTAAAAAAATATACTCAGAATCATTTATTTATTTATTTTTTATTTTTTTTGAACAACGTATACTCAGAATCATCTAACTAGAAATAGTTACTCTAGTTACATCCGCCACCACCACCGCCACCACCACCACCACCACACCCTCCACCGCCTCCGCTGCCACCACATCCTCCTCCACCACCCCCATGATGTCCGCCGCCGCCGCCACATCCTCCTCCACCCAGGGCCGTGCCTACGAAGGAGTTAAAGAAACCTTCGCCTACGACCTCAAAATTTTATGAAATATTTTGAAAGCAAAAGATAGAATAAATTAGTATTATATATATCTATAAATATTCTAAACTTATGTTCTTATCGTTAATATCTCAAGGTTTGTTTTTTAGAATCTAAAGTCAACTGCTATGTCCATAAATATTTTTCTTAACTTTTGAATTTTGTTTTTTGTATTTATATATTCATACATTTATTTTGCCTTTTTCATTTTTACCACATTATCTATTTTTTTTTTCAAAAAAAAAATCACCAACTTCTTATTTTCTGTAATATGATTTATTTTATTTTTTACTTACCTTTAGTTTACAATTTAACTAATATATTACAGTGTAATCTCTATAAACTAATAACGTTGAATCATGAATTTTTACAAAAATATTAGTAATTTATAGTAATTATTAATTTAGAAATATACTATTTAGTTGATAAACTAATTTTAGAACTGATAAAAATATTAATTTATCTAGGTATTAATGAATCAAATACTAATTTATAAAAGTTTTACTGTATATACAATGCTAATTTTTTTTATTTTTTACAATGTTGTATCTTATGTATTACAATTATATATATACACCAAACATAAAATAATTTAAAATCTCTTTTATAAATAATTCTATTAATATTTTCTTTCACAGAAATTAATTATTTTTAAAATAATTATTTAATAAAAATGTTGTTTTTGTTTTTCGCCTACGGCACTAAAAACCTTTGGCACGGCTCTGCCTCCACCAACACCACTATGATGTCCGCCGCCGTGATGGTGGCCGCAATAGCCGGAACTAGAGACCGTAGGGAGAGATGCAGCCGCTGGATAAAACAAGAAGTCACCATTGGTGCTTGTTACACCTGCTCTACTTCTCTGGATGTTGGGATTATTCGTAGGTAATGTTTCCTTCTCCTTCCCCAGGCAACACGACATTAAAGCAAACGCAAGAATGAAACCGCCACACGCTATCAAGAAAATGACATAAGGAGCCATGACGATCTCCCCGCAACAAGAGAGCAGAATCAAATAAACTTCAAAAACTCACGTTTTGTTTCTTAACGAATGCAACCGTATTTATAGTCATTATCAGCTAATTTTATTTGGAATAGGATATGTTTTAAGCAAATAACAACAATTATCATATTAAGAAGTAAAACATAAATAACACAAATTTGTTACTAATGTTATTATTAAATTAACTCATACCTCAATATTAGCAGAACTTGGTTAAGGTATGGATAAGTTCTCTGCATCAGTTTACAGGCTTCACTGTGAAGAATACATACACAAACCAATCCATTAGTTTGATAACTTTGCACGTTGCTTCACTGAAAACTACTTCCATGGCTGACAGAAATCAGTTCCATTTCCTTTTCAACCATCTTCAGTGTCAACGTTATCTCATCCAGATTCAGATGAGATTCGTCCCCCGCAAGAAAATTGTGCACTTCACTCTTTAGTACGATCCAGCTAGACCCTGGATCCTTCTTGATTCTTTTCGATTTCTTGATATTCCTTATCCGATCACCATCTCTGTTATTCCCAACAATTGAATATAGCCGAGACAATACAACATACGGTGTTGCACTATCAGGTTCAAGTTCAATTAGTTTCTTAGCAGCAAGCTCTGCGAGATCGACGCGTACATAAGTCTTGCTTGCACCAAGCAGGCTGCCCCAAACCCCAGAATGAGGCTCAAAAGGCATTGAAGAGATCAAGTGATACGCCTCATCAAGCATTCCACTTCTTCCAAGGAGATCAACCATGCATGCATAATGATCAGGTCCTGGTTCAATGCCGAAGGAAGATTTCATCGATCTGAAGTGTTTCCATCCTAAGTCCACGTATCCAACATGAGCGCAAGCTGATAACACAGCAAGAAAGGTAACACCGTTTGGCTCTCTTCCTGTACTTTCCAACATCGAAAACAATTTAAGAGCTTCCTTCACCAAACCATTATAAGAAAACCCGCTGATCATCGTGTTGTAAGAAACAATATTAGGCTCGTTGATGCACGAGAAGATCCTGTAAGCATCATTCGTGTTGCCACATTTGGAATACATCGATACCAACGAATTCTGAACTGACAAGTCATTCTCGATGTTCATCTTCACAACTCTAGTATGGATTTGTAGTCCTTCGATCAATGCCGCCAAACTAGCTGTTGCGCTGAGGACACTACTGAAAGTGTAAGAATTTGGACAAACTTCTTCCCGGAGCATCTTACGAAACCAGCAAATCGCCTCCTCGTAATATCCATTGCTCACAAAAGCAGATATCATAGCAGTCCATGTAATGCCGTCCTTCTCAGGCATCATCTTAAACAGCTCTACACATTTAGAGACTTCTCCTATTCCAGAAAACCCTTTGATCATATCTGTCCAAGATACCATGTCTTTGCTCGGCATCTTCTCGAAAAGTTCATAAGCTTCAGAGATTTGTCCGCTCTGAACAAGACCCGTGATCAAGGAATTCCAAGAAACAGAGTCTTTGTTTGTCATCACGCCAAACACTGCTTTGGCCTCGGCCATATAACCAAGCTTAGAGTACATCGAAATCAGCGAATTCCCTAGAAACATATCAAACTCGAGAGGCATCCGTGAAACTAACCCATGAATCTGACTTCCCTCTCGGTATCTGACGAAATCACGACAAGCTTTGAACATAACAGCCAAAGTGTTAGCATTAACCCTGACATGTCCTTCTCGTCTCATTCTCAGAAACAGAGCAAACCCATCTTCAAAGAACCCAGCTTGAAAATACCCATCGATCATAGCGGTCCAAGTAATCACATTTTTCTCAGGCATTGTATCAAAAAGACTTCTAGCATCAACAAGTTTCCCCATTTTGCAATACCCATCAATCATTGAGCTACAGGACACCACTTCTTTCACTACCATACCCTCAAAAACACGAACAGCCTCCTTCAATTTCCCTGCTCTCAGATATCCACTCAACAAAACGTTTGAAGCAACAGGATCACGAAACTTCAACGGGGTCTCAGCATACAAAAGATCCGCCTTTTCAAACATCCCTGCCTTAACAAAACCGGTAATCATCGTCGCGTAAGACACAGCGTTCTTCTCCGGTATGTCACGAAACAATTCGTAAGCTTTTCCCAAATCGCACTTGTTTTTAACCATAGCCGTAATCATCGCATTATAAGAAGTTGTAGCTCTCACGGGCATTTCATCGAACACTTGACATGCTTTACTCATCTTACCATTCTCAGCGTATGCCGAGAGCATCGCGTTCCAAGAGACTATACTTCTCTGCGACATATTTCTGAAAATAGCTTCAGCTTCTTGGAGATTCCCGTTCTTCGCGAGCTTCGAAATCTGAGAATTGCATTGAAAGATAGTTGTGCTCGTCGTCTCCGGAAAGTTTCGTGTTGCTGTAGTCGGCGTATAAGGCTCGTAGTTAGATAGAGCAAGCGTAGAGTTACATCGGAGACGAAGGCTCTGTCTATAAATCAAGCCGTTGTTCGAAATCGGCCTCATCGCAATTGGACTAGCCAGTACAACGGAGAGGAGGAACGAAGAAAAAGCCGGTAAAAAAATATTAGTGATTTTAAGTTTTTAACAAATTTAATTTCCTCACATTAGCAATGTACGTGGCAATTTTTTGCAAAAGTTAATTATTTTCATTGTTTGGTAATGACAATATTTCGCCGTAATAATTTATATAATATTTCCAATTTGGGATGATATACCAAGTGCATCATCCATGATGATTCTGCGTATACCATTTACATCCTAGAACGGTCAAATAGTTTTCAAAAAATAATCTTTGTTCGTTGTTAGTTTTTAGAGTCTTAAAGAATCTTTTTGATGATAAATCTTGTTAGTTTTTAGAGTTTTAAAGCACCACAAGAAGCATATTAAAAAAAGAACCATTTCCTCTTTTTAAAATTTTCAGATTATCTGTTAATTAGGTTGTTGAAACTTGTGTCTCAAGTTTTAGATATAATCAAGCAGATTACCTTGGATGATTTGCAGAGTAAGACCTACTTGAATAAACTTGTGTAAGAAGGCACTTAGAGAAGACGATCTTGTTGCTTTTAACAAAAAAAATGAAAATTTTACAAATCTAATTAGGCATAAAACCCATATATATTACGTATTTACATTAAATCCGAGAAAAAAAAGTAACTTTTATTTAGTTTAGTTCATTAGGCTAATTAACAATTTGTAGATTTACATAAAAGATAAATGAAGTGATATGGATTATGGAGCAAATATATATCGTCCATTCCTGGCTTCCTTCCCAAGCAACCAAAGGAACGTAAGAAAATCCCTAGGAAATAGTAACAAGCGAGGAACAAATTAGGTTTGTTACTCTTCGCTCTTCATATTCATAATATCCGATCTTGTCTCTTCTTCAACATGATGTCTGATACATTTTATTGACCCAACATTGTACTTATTTTGCCTATATCTAATCTTTTTCCCCCCTTTTCTGCTATGTTTTTATTATTATGAGCAGCTCATAAAGAAAAGAGAGATATATTCTCTAGTAATGACTGCTACAAGTAATAACGTATGTAAACATTCTATAAATTTTCTGAAGTTATCTTTCTGAAAGGATATTTTTTAAAACAAAAATCAAAGTTTATTCTTTTTAACGTTTTGTATACAGGAGATCTTAATCATTCGCAAAGAATTCTTTCCTTATTTATCGATGTGTCTCTACGATGGTATGACAAAAACGATAAGCATCATGACAAAAGAGTTATGGGAAACTGCTGGTGAAATCTTCAAATATGTGCCAATGTATATTTTGACGAATATATTTGCAACAAGACAATTTGCAACACAACCAGAATCTGATATCACGATCACTGAGCGCCTGAACCCAATGACCAAACATCATCATACTCGATATGCATATTGGAAGAAAAATAAGGTATGTTTTTTTTAACGTTTTCTATTTTCTAATTAATTTTAACTACAAGTTATATATTTAGTCAAAAAGATTGTGATTTATATTTACTTTAGGTTGATCACTCGGTATCTTGGAACATCAATATGGGAGAGGAATGAAGCATAATGGTCGTTGATTCATCGATTTTATATTGTAACAAAATGACTTTCTAAGTTGTCTCGTTTACATAAATTCGGGAACTTTATTTTATACTACGTATGTGACAAATTGCTGATATATTTCAGCTTAACAAAATATAATCGTAGGAAGTGTTTTTTTTTTCTTTCAAAATGTAACCCACAAAAGACAAAACCAAAACGGAATGACAACTGTATACAGATACATCGACGAGAATGTGCATAAGATTTACGTTTTTACTTTGAAGATGGTTCCTTTTCTTCCCCTTCAATGTTCTTAGCCGTCTCTACTTGATCATCTTCAGTTTTAATGTTCATGGTGGCCTCTACATCTGTGGTTTCCAAGTCTGCTTCCTCTACTTTCTCCTCTTTAGCTTCAGCATCAGTCGAATTTTCTGCGATATCACCACTTAGAGCTTCCTTAGCTTCTGGTAATGTTGTGTCTGCATAATCATTATCTTCTGTTCTCACAATATTACCATCGCGTGTAAGAAGAGCTCTCGGTGTCCCTGTTCCTGTTCCAAGGTTCTGTACACACGTAAACTCATCATCATCATCAGAAGAAGAAGACTCGGAATCAGATCCAGAATCAGACTCAGGAATGATTTCTTGCTGCCCATCTCTCATTTTCTTGGATCCTTTACGCGAAAACGCATGCTTTATCTGTTTTGCGGATTTCTCAGCTTGTTTCAGAAAGCTCTTTGCAACATCCTTCATGTGACCTTTACCTGAATTCTCTTCTGCGTCCAAACTCTCATACCCTACACTCTTCGCTGAAAGAGGACCCGAGAGACTGTCATCGACGATGTACTTAACTCCAACATCCTTTTGGTTTGTCGCTTTCACGTTGATCCGAGGAGACTGAGTCTGCGACTCCTCTTCAATGCTTCCTATCAAAAACTCTTCCTTTTTGCTATTCCTATGAAACACTGACCCGATCTTCCTCAGTCCCCTACCAACAGACTTCATTGGGTTCCTTGACCCTTCTTGATTCTCATCGGTGCTACTGCTTTCGTTGTTTGGTGATCCATCGTTAGGAACTCTCTGTACTTGGCTATCAAGACGCCTGCTCTTGCCTTTCCTCGGTTCCCAAATCTGTGAGACTTCAGGTCCAGGCCTTTGAACCCAGATCCCAGTGTCTTCTCTCCCGTCAATGTTAATCGGCTCAACGTTATCAGCAACTCTCGGAGATCTTTCGGAATTCACCGACGTGAAAGAACCTTTGTTTGCGGTGTCAGAAGCAAAAGATGTTTGCATGTCTTCCTTGTTTAGCTTCTTCACCCCTTTGAATGGATCCTCACTCCACTGTTTCAAGAACGAGAAGTGTTTTTAATAAAACTAAATCGTGTTGTGTTGTTCAGAGAGAAGCAAAGATTAGAAGTAGTTTAAACCTTTGCACTGTCCTCGATTACGGTTATAGCAAGATGCAATCTTCCCATTTTGATGTTCTGAAGAGACAACCACATATCGTTTCTTTGGCCGCCTCTAAGCTCTGCGATATTCACTGAACATTCACTGCCACAAAACACAAGAAACTATTGATGATATTCACATTTAGTTTTGGAGTAACGAGAAGTGTGATTTCAGGAACAAACCCAAGGGTATCATCAACGAATCGATCTTTGTCTTTAACTTCAATGCTCAGTATACTTGGAGAGTCCCATGAAAAGATTGGTATCTTAAACTCTTCTTGCCATGTTGGGGACAATGTTTTCCGCATTATCTTGGTTTTGAATCGGTACGCACCAAGTTTCCCTTTCACGTACGGATCAGCCAAACCTGAAACCACAAAAACACGCCCAAGTTTTTCAAACCCGAAATGAATCTAAAGGCCGTAGTAATATCCAAAACTTACCATTTAGATCGGATGGTTTAACATCTGACGCTTCAACGACTTCAACTAAGACTTGTGCAGCTGGTTCTTTCTCATCAACAAAGAACCAGTTTTCTGTGAAGCCAACACAGACAAACAATAGTGCAAGTTAATGAAAGCTTAAGAGACACAGATGATTGTAGACAAACTGTTACAAGCAGATATATAAGATGGGAGCTACTCAGTACCTGGCTTTGGGCTAACAAATTTCTCCATGTCAACAACCAACATATTTGGCTGCAGAGAAGACAAGAAATAATAAAAACAATTTCTTTAGACGGTGTCATTTGTTCCTTAAATGCAGGAGGTGATACATCAAAACCAACGGAGAAAAGAAAACCAAAATTACAAACCTGAACAAGGGTCTGTTCAAATGCGATTGAAAGAAGTTTGTCCTGATTAAGAAATGAAGAAACCGGCGTTAACAAAAGGTAATAAGAAGATTCAAAACTCTTGTTAAAAGACTAATTGAGGCTATGTAGTACTACTTACTAGCCATCCTGCGATGCCTGGAAGTACAGCAACATCAAGCCCGTGAGTGAAGATTGGTTTAACAGTCATCTGGAAATACGGAGGCTCTGCAAAACACACACGTAAGCGCCCCAAGAAAGGCCATCGACGAAGGAACTTCACTCCAACCAACACCTTTTAAAGAGTAGAAGCAAAAAAACAAAATGTGTTAACAGTAATGGAAAAAAATGTCAAATTCAGATAAAAAAAAAAAGCAAAAGCTGGCAATACCTTTCCTTCCACGTGCATTCCCGTCAAATGCAGCTTTGTCCACATCCCAAAACCAAGCCTTTTCCTTAATTTCACAGCAAGTATCGCACTCATATCATCTGCTGCTAGAAAATTCATTCCAAGTTCCAGTACCTGTGTATAAACTCCAGCATAAGTTTTCATTCTGCTATAGATAATAAAAGGGAAGATGTTATATGAGGCGTTGTAGTTATACCAAGTGATCATCACCCGTTGATTGGCGAAAGACCCTAATATCGGTCAACAGAGGAGGCCTTTTCCCCATGTAAAGGTGCTGTATCACAGCCTTTTTCTGCACATTCATCGTACAAGATGTCAACAACAACAAGCGACTTTTTACAACTTGCAATGTGAATTCTATACTACACCATTCGCAGAGCTCATTGAAGTACTAAAAGAAACAGAAACGCATAATGGAGTTTAAGACCAATACCGCCGTCCAAGGTCTATACTTGTCCAAGAACCAAGGTATGATTGGACCAAGAATCTTTTCAGACGCAATCTGTTCCATGCATATAGGCCATATCTTCTCCACAGCATAGTTCAACCACCGCACAGATTCAGAATCAGTTAAAACCTGAAAGATGCATAGCAAAGAAGAAGGAAGGAAGCAAAATTTCAGTTATTTGAGAAACAAAGAGTTTTGTATCCTTAGCACTAAAGCCAGTTAATATAAATTAGCTAAAAGCCAGCACTTTCACAGCTTCACTATAGTGACTTAAACCATAACAAGATCAATCTATACTTAACACAGAAAGAAAAATCAGTATTTTTGTTTCGGGTAATCTCTAAGACATATCAAAATCTAGATTTTAACCACCAGTAAATGGACCATAAACATCAAAGATGGAAACTTTCCACCTGAATAACAAACAGTAGAAACATAGAGAGATTTGAAAATGACCCTTCTCTGATTAGCTTGCTTCCTCTCTTCAAACTGCAATTGTCTCTTCAATCTCATCACATACCGTTCATGAACCTGAATAATAAACCAAAGCAACAATTTTTTTACACATTCCATCAAATCCAGACACTAAGTACCCACAAAAGAAACATAAAGCATCAATCAAACAAAAAGGTGTACCAGGTAGAGATAAATCAGGGACAGGAAGTAGAAAAAGCCGTGGGATCGATCCAACGAAGAGATAAACCAGAGGAACAGCAACACGATCACGATATGATGGATTAACGAAGACTCCATCGTATCAAAACCCAGAAGAGAAGACCCGGAAAAAAGATTCACAAAGTTTTAATCTTTGTCTCCCCCAAATGATCAAAGACGCATCTCAGAAAAGACGAATCGATTCGAACTTGAAAGTGTACTGTTTAGGAAGATTGAAAAGGAGACAACAGTGACTCTAGCGCGGAAGAAAACAAAACCCAAAAAGAAAAGACACAAATTTGTAAATCGACGAGCTTGGATTTACCGTGAGGTTTCCTTCCTTTAGTGAAGTCTTACGGAATTCGAATCGTTGACTAAAAAAGGAAATAAATGTTTGAGATTTGCTTTTCTCTTTGCTAAATTCCAATATAGCACGAGAATTGTGTTTCCCGTGAAAATTCCCAATCGTCTAATGAAATTGAAATTTCTTTAGGGTTTGAAATTTAATTGATTATCTTCTGTGATTAGTGGTTACGTCACCATAAGAAATATATCATTCAAAACGTTCAATACATCATACAAGAAATATATCAAAACAATCCAGTAACAAAACAATCACTTGAAGTTGAAGGAGTAGTTAACTTACTGTTTATGTGAGTCTATGACAACTATATAAGAAATATATCATTCAAAACGTTCAATACATCATACAACAGCCAAAAGCAAATAAGCAATGAATATATATATATATATATATATATATTTTTTTTTTTTTGTAGATATACGATTATAAAAAAAAATACCAATAATCCACTATTCCAAGTCCAACCAAACTATGAGAGTCTCTTATTTTCTAAATTATTATACTACAGTAAGAAAATTCGCTAAAATCGAATGTAAGCACATTATAAAGTTCTAAAAATAAAAATAAGTATCTTAATTATTATTTTATTATAATTTAATATAAAATTAAATTTTAATATTTTTAAAAATGAATCAATGAAAACAAAACAACTCTATAAATAAGTATTTTAAAATTTTAGAATACCTTCCGATTTAGTGTACTTTCAAAATTCTTCTCACTTATTTTTTTTCTATTTGATTTAATATTAAAAATCTTTCTAAGAACCTTTTATTAAAAATGGTTTAAGTGTGTAATTATATTTTATTACCATTATGATTTATGAATACCATTTTTTTGATGAAACTACATAGAAGAAGTCTATGCCACGTTGAAATGTTGAAAAGCAAAAGAAAATAGAAAACTCTGACCGTCGTTGGCTTATTTTAGAACTTTCGATATGGTGTCGTCCACATGACACTTGTCGGCAAACACACCATTTTTTTTAATATAGTTTCCTTTTGGGCCCATACATGTAGGCCCAATAATAAAGGATAAGGCCTGCCTATCTCTCTGACTGTCTCTCTCCTCCAAAGCTCTACCGTCTTCAGATGATCAAATCTATCAAATCCACAATTGTTACTGCGATTACACAGAACTGATCCTTTGACGGCCCCACACTGTTTTGTTTGTTTGTTTCAAGACGCTGACGTCGACATTTTTTTTTGTGGTGGGAGCGTAAATAAAACAAAAAAGAAAGCTTTGTTTAACGACAATGGTGATGACACATTGCTCACGTTTCCAACATCTTCTTCTTCAACCCAAATTCCTCTTCTCTCATCAATCTCATCTTCTCCGCCATCCTCTGGCCAGAGCTCGAACTGTCATCAGATCGATTATGGGTTCGTCTTCGTCCTTCTCCTCGAAGCTTCTCTTTCGCCAGCTCTTCGAGAAAGAGTCTTCGACTTACACTTACCTTCTCGCCGACGTTTCTCATCCTGATAAACCCGCTCTTGTAAGCTTTGTTTGCTTTCAAAAGATTGAATTTTGCGACTTGGGTTTTGTGATTTTGGTGTTTGATCGTTGTTTCTTTGCTCTCTGGATTGGTGAATGTGATCAGATCGTTTAGTTTTCGGTTGACTGAATTATCTAAGATTAGTCAATTAGCCTATTTGATTGCTTGCATAATTGGTTTGAACAAATTAGCAATTGATTTACTTTTGGATGTTAATTTCTAAACTTGTGTTGATTTTGCTATGTAATCAAGGAGATGATGATAATTTTTTGGCTGAATTCATCAAATTATGGCTTAATTCATCGATTCTCTTATCTGATTATTCTAATTGTTGTCGTCTTATATGATGAACAGTTGATTGATCCGGTGGACAAAACTGTTGACAGAGACCTGAACCTGATCAATGAGCTAGGCTTAAAGCTTATCTATGCTATGAACACTCATGTTCATGCTGATCATGTCACTGGAACTGGACTTCTTAAGGTCAGTTTCTGTTGATTAGTATAAATTCTTTACATTTGCACCGTTTTGGGTTTGAATCGAAAATTCAGAAATCTCTCTATATGTTTGCTCCTCCTTACAGACAAAGGTTCCGGGTGTGAAATCCCTCATTTCGAAAGCAAGTGGTTCAAAAGCAGATATGTTTCTTGAACCTGGTGACAAAGTAACTATCGGTGATATATACCTCGAGGTAATGAAAACAAGATTTTTCAAACCGGGTACAGTAACTAACTGAGAAACTAGAGAGTCAGGCGAGTGAGAATCATTTCGTTTTTGTTGCAGGTTCGTGCTACACCTGGACATACTGCAGGATGTGTTACATATGTGACTGGAGGAGAAGCAGACCAGCCCCAACCTAGAATGGCTTTTACCGGAGATGCTGTACTGATCCGGGGTTGTGGCAGGACCGACTTTCAGGTAAACATATCAGTTATAAAGAACCCAAAAACTGCAATGTAGATGAGACATCGGTTTAACTTATACGTTTCCTGTGTTTTGTGTTTCAGGGAGGAAGCTCGGATCAACTGTATGAGTCTGTACACTCACAGGCAAGTTTTTTCACACTATCTTGTCACACCAATGGCAAATTGATTCATAAGTCTTGAAGGTTTTGTATGAAACGATTTTGTTTTTTACCTTTAACCAGATATTTACATTGCCAAAGGACACATTGATCTATCCAGCTCATGACTACAAAGGTTTTGAGGTAATGCAAAACGCATCATTCATTCATTCACAGTGGCTTGTTTGGTGGAAACTGTGATTCATCCACACACTGGCTTTACTTATATTATGTTTCTGTTGATTTTCAGGTAAGTACAGTTGGAGAAGAGATGCAACACAACCCACGTTTAACTAAAGATAAAGAAACATTCAAAACCATTATGTCAAGTAAGTTTCTTCTTGTTTAGTATATATGCTTTTTGAGTATTCTCGGCTTGTCCTCAGTTCATAATAACTTGTCGGTTAACAGATCTGAATCTGGCTTATCCGAAGATGATTGATGTTGCGGTACCAGCAAATATGGTATGTGGATTACAAGATGTGCCTGTGCCTTCCCAAGCCAACTTATAAGAACTTGTACACAATTGTTTCTCTTTCACGCCTTCATTCTATATTTTTAGCAAGAAGCCAATAAAAATACTCTTTGAGAGTTTGTTTGTCCAGTAAGATCGTTAGAAGATTGTGCAAGTTAGATTGAACTTGTGGGATTGTGTAAAGTTATGAGTATGAAGTGTATTTGCGTGTTCAACTTTTGTTTGATTAGCTCATTTGATGTGTCGACAACTTCAATAATTCAATCAACATAATTTGGCTTTTCCAACAACCACCACTCGTCCATGTGTTTGGTCCCACGTTGTTGAAACTACTGAAACCTTAAATCCAATCAAACAATGGAGATCGAGAGAGGATAAAGAATTTGAGAGAGAGAATGAGAAAAGATAAAGACAAAAACAGAGCAGCGTCTCATTCATCTTACGGCACGTTTCAAGGTGTCCCTACTTATCCACCACCGTCGCATCCTCGTCCGCCGACGCACCATCCTGTCAACGGATTTCCTCGGCCGTCTCCGCCTCACGGAGCAGCTCATCACGACGGAGCTCATCACGACATTTCCGTTCATCAATACATTCAAGAACATCAAACCGTTCCTGGTAAGTGACTCTCGAGTCATCTTTTGAGTTTGACTCTCAGATTCTCCGGACGAAAGCTGAAATTTTACTTCATCTTCCGACGACCCTTTTGATAGTATTCTCTGGTTTCTTGACTGTCACTCTAAAGGTTTCCAATTTTTATGGTTGCTAGAGATGATACTTGAGCCTATGCCTGAAAATTTGGAATCAAACTTGAGATTAATTTTAAATCGAATCCATTGACTCTTCTTTACGATCCAACTTGAGTATAACCAAGTTGCTAGAATCACTTCAGCTGGATCATATGTGCAGAATCCAATCTCTATGGTAAAATTACTGAGAACATCTACTTTTTGAATCAATTAGTGAAAGATTAGTCTGGTCCAAAATCTGTAGAGACAGATTCAGCGACTCATACGCAAGAACCAGAAGCTCTCTGTTTATACATAAGTTCACAAAGCTTTAGATGCAACTAAATTGCAGGATACGCTGTTGCTGCTGAAGTAAAACCTTTAAGAGAAGACCCACTTCCTTGTTGTGGTCTTTGAGTCGGTTGGTTCTTGTAAGTTCTTTTTCTTTAGCATCATATTTAGTCCTTTTTAAGTACAATCACTTGGTGTCATCAATCCATCTTTGTCTGAAGAAAAAATATGGTCCACTTGATTGTTAAGGTTCATAACCGGTTTCCTCCTTGGTGCAATCCCATGGTACATAGGCGTATTCATTACAGTATGTGCCAGGATCAATCCACGGGAGAAACCAGGATACGTTGCTTGCACCATCGCAGTGAGCATTTCACTAAAACAATCATCACGTTGCAATTCATATTATTCTTCTGTATTAATCAGTGTTAATTGCTTCTGCGCTTTCACAGGCTGTTGTTGCTACAATTGCCATAATTTTTGGCTTCACGAGAGGAAGAGGAGCCTGGTCCTGAAGTGTTGTCCTCAACGAGGAATAAACAAAATTGTTAATCAAATTGTCTTGAATGTGTGTATACATCAGAGAAACTATGTTATTCTTTGTGTAATTAGTATGATCGTAATAAGTATGATGGTAGTATTTCCCCATTTTAAGTTCCTTCAAACATATTCAACCAATTATAGATTCCACAACATGTTCAATAATTTAAATCCTTCAAGTCTTCTACTAATCAGGGAAGAATGAGAGTACTTTCACCAAAATCAAACAAGTTATGTTATATTATTATCAACCCTACATATATAAACTATTAGCATCGCCTGATGCTTCCTAAAACCTAATTAGCCATAACCAAAAGCAGAAAGAAGAGGTAAATCCAATTTTGGATAATATCACACAACTACGATTTTGATATCGAGAGTGCTACAGGAAGAACTAAAAACACCGAAAGTTTCAAACTTTTTCTGTTGGTATTTAGAATCTCTTTTCTTGGACAGAATCCTAAAATGCATATAAAATTTAGGGCAGACTCTCTGATTTCAGACACGCCAAAATAAAAACATGTAGAAACTCCTAGAGAGAGAGAGAGACTGCTCCATAAGATTGAATTAAATCTTGGCCGGGTGAAATTGGGAACTTGCATTATATTGAAATCAAGAAGAACCCATTTGGATCGGCCGAAGAAGAATAAAAAAAACAACAGCAGAATAAAAAACCAAGAAACCAAAAAAGGGTTTTGATTTATCAAATCAATGTTCGATCTTTTCTTCAAATTTGCAACAATGAATATTAATTGCAAAAGAATAGAGGAAAGATAATTGGGTTTGGATTTATGCCCGCAACGGAACAAGAACAGCACTAGTTTAGCTGCTCTGGTCTCTCAAAGGCACTTCGAATTTTTCTCCAGTGCGGCGATGTGTATTTATAAGCTCGAGAATTGTCCTTTTTACCCATAGCCGCCGCTTCACGGTGAGATTTAACCTATTTACATCTCTTTGTATTTTGTGAAATAACCCATGAAACTGGAAAATCTCCAAACGGCACCAATAATTTTGTGAATAGTTTTTCTAGTCCTCCTATTCTTGTTGTATGTCACAAAGTTGCCAAACTATACAAACAAACAAAGATTTTAACTCCCTAAACAAAAAAGTGACAATCATTTTGATAATAGGATTGGTTGAAAGACGATATCGGTTTGATTTAATTGTAGAAATACAATCATAACCAGAAAAAATCTTTTTCAATATTTTTTAATCAAGTAATACTTTTTTCAATAAATAGAATCAGGGTTTTAAAGATATTTGCAAAGTTAGATTTGGTTAAACTATATGCAACACAATTAATAATAAGAGATCAAATAGATAGTTTTCAAAATATGTTTAAGTAAATTTTATACATATTGTTTGAATATTATTAGTAGGGCTAAAAGGTAAAAACAATCACTAGTTAATGCCTAATCATACCAATAAGTGTTATGATTTGCACACTGAGTTGCACACTACAATTTGTAATGAAATTTCTAATTTCGATTACAATGTTGAATTTCCATGTTATAAAATGCTAAATTTTAGGTATATTAGTTTGATATTTTCTTTTTAATTTTATTTCTTTATCCAGATGCATAAATAAATTATTTACGATATTGATTATGATTGAATTCTAAAAACAATTTTTATTAATATGTTGATTTTTATTTTCTATTTCGCATATCATCTTTCTTCTCCAATAATCACATCGATTATCATCAAGATAAAAATAAGAAATCTTCAAATTTATCATGTCAAATCCACAATCTCATCTGCCTTAAGAAAACATGTGGACTTTTTTGTTTTTTTTTTCATGTTTATATTTTATATTCCAGATATAATATATTAAATGACTCTGATTTTTTAGGATCTTGACGTTTCGAAAAATTAAGTTTGGTCTATACGATATGGTAAGCAGAACACAACTCTTCAAGATTCACACCCAAACCATGAAGTGTGAAAGAGATATCCATTCATGATTTTTAACTATAAGGATCTTGATTATTTTCTTTAGAAAATGGTTTAACTTTTTTGTTGAACTTGTTTTAGAAATGAAGTTTTTAGTAGAAAAAATATTAATAAAAAATTATGGAGTTTTACAATTTAAAAATAAAAAGTTCTACTGGAAGACGAACCCAAAAAATAGTTTAGTTGGGTTTTTAATAAATTGGTTGTATTTTAAAGTATGTAGGCGATCGATTTGTCAACAAGCTACTATGGTATGATCATTAAGATAAATTAATGGCAAGAAATGAAAGAAAATACTGCATTTAATATTATATAATTAAATATTAATATTTGAAATAATTAAAATATTCAAAGTTTTAATTGTAAATCAAATATATATAAAATGAAATAACTAAACTATTCATAATTTTTTAGTTATATATATTAAATTATTTTATAGAATGTAATCAAATAATTAAAATATCAAATATATTTTATATAAATTTTAGATAATTCATAACCGAAATCAACCCAAATTTTGTTTAAATTCAATTCGAACTCAAACCAAAATAGAAAATCATCAATGATATCCAAACAACCTATTTTGATGGAGTTTAAGTAGCCTAATATGTACTCCAAAAATTAGTTGTCTCTCTATTTTATTTTGCTTAATAAAAATATAAACAGTAATTTTTTATAGAAACCAACCATAAATAAGGTGGAGGAGTTCTTGATTGATTTTCTTAGGAAAAAATGGAAATTATAAAATAATAATTTATAATATAATATCATTTAAAAAATAATTAAAATACGTTTATATAATAACATAATGTTAATATTTAAAAAATCAATAACATGCATGCAAAAATGTGAATGCATTCTATTGTGCATAGCTATTCTAATAGTCGTTTATAAATATTTGCATATGCAGGTTTTAATATAGTATAAGTATATTTTATGATTTGAACCAATTTAGAAAAATAACAAATAATTTTTAAAAGTACAATTTTTTTGAAAATATGTTTAACTAAATTTTATACATTTTGTTCGAATATCATTAGTGCGAGTTAAAAAGTAAAAACAATAACTAGTTAATTTATTTTCTATTTTCCACTGGTCAGTGTTATTAACCTAGTTTTGTAGACATCGCAAAGTAAAAAGGAAAAGAAAGTGTTTTTCCCCAAAAAAAAAAAAAAGGAAAGAAAGAAAGTAGAAGAAAATTCGAGACGAACCCTGCGCCTTAATAAACCCCCCTCTCTTGTAGTTCCCTTGTTGTCTTCTTTCTTTGCTCTTCCAGATTTTTCTCAGCGACGATAATAAACTCAACCTAGAAGCTTCCAGAATCCATTCCCCTCTCACGATCCAGGTACGATTCCGATGCCCTCCTCCTCGTTAACCATTAGCTGCATATAGATCTCCTAGATCTGAATCTCCTTTTTTTCGTATAATTCACTTTTAGGTTCGTGATCTATCCGCATCGGATTACTTGTTTGTCTTCTCATCTTTGAGCTTGAATCTGCTTTCTATGTCTGTCTCGTTTCTCTTGGGAAATTCCCAGCTTCCGGGAATATAATCAGCTTCCGAGCTGCTCTTCATAGATTTCTGATTTATTTAGGGTTTTAACCAGTTTCAAATACCATGAATCTTCGTGGAGCATGTTAATGCAATCAATTTTCACTAAGATAGTTTAAGAGCACCTGAATTAACCACCGATTCTCATTCTAATCTGAACTTTTTTTTTTGTTTGTTGATGAATAGGTTTGAAGAATACAAAAAGCGCGAGAATGAGTGTAGTTGGATTTGATTTCGGAAACGAGAATTGTCTTGTTGCTGTTGCAAGGCAAAGAGGTATCGACGTTGTGCTTAACGATGAGTCGAATCGCGAGACTCCTGCTATTGTGTGCTTTGGTGAGAAGCAGCGTTTCATCGGAACCGCAGGAGCTGCTTCGACCATGATGAACCCTAAAAACTCCATATCCCAAATCAAGCGACTAGTCGGCCGCCAATTCTCCGACCCTGAGCTGCAGAGGGACATCAAATCTCTCCCCTTTTCCGTCACCGAATGTCCCGATGGCTACCCTTTGATCCGTGCTAACTATTTGGGAGAGACGAGATCCTTTACACCCACTCAGGTCATGGGAATGATGCTGTCTAACCTGAAAGGCATCGCCGAGAAGAATCTCAACGCGGCGGTGGTGGACTGCTGTATCGGTATCCCTGTTTACTTCACCGACCTCCAGCGAAGGGCCGTTCTGGACGCGGCGACGATCGCAGGCTTGCACCCGCTGCACTTGATCCACGAGACGACAGCGACGGCTTTGGCGTATGGTATTTACAAGACGGATTTGCCGGAGAGCGAGCCGCTCAACGTCGCGTTCATCGACATTGGACATGCGAGCATGCAAGTCTGCATTGCGGGATTCAAAAAGGGACAGCTCAAGGTCTTGTCTCACGCTTTTGATCGCTCGCTGGGAGGAAGGGACTTTGACGAGGCTTTGTTCAATCACTTCGCTGCCAAGTTCAAGGAGGAGTACAAGATTGATGTCTCCCAGAACGCCAAGGCCTGTCTCAGGCTCCGAGCTGCGTGCGAGAAGCTGAAGAAGGTTCTAAGCGCAAACCCTGTGGCACCATTGAATATCGAGTGTTTGATGGACGAGAAGGACGTGAGGGGTGTCATCAAGAGGGAAGAGTTTGAAGAGATCAGCATCCCAATTCTGGAGCGTGTTAAGAGGCCTCTAGAGAAAGCTCTATCTGATGCTGGCCTCACAGTTGAAGATGTACATATGGTGGAGGTTGTTGGCTCTGGCTCTCGTGTCCCTGCTATTATCAAGATCCTAACTGAGTTTTTCGGTAAGGAGCCCAGGCGTACAATGAATGCTAGTGAGTGTGTGTCGAGGGGATGCGCCTTGCAGTGTGCCATTCTCAGCCCGACCTTCAAAGTTCGCGAGTTCCAGGTAATGTGTGCATATCTATGCTTTTGATGTAATGTGATTTTTTTTTCGTATTTGTACTCCGGTTTATCTAACAAGTGGTATTAATAATTCTTAGGTTCACGAGAGCTTCCCTTTCTCAATTTCGCTGGCGTGGAAAGGAGCGGCTTCTGATGCTCAGAATGGAGGAGCTGAGAACCAGCAGAGCACTATTGTTTTCCCCAAAGGAAACTCCATTCCTAGTGTCAAGGCTCTAACGTTTTTCCGTTCTGGAACATTCTCTGTCGATGTTCAGTACAGTGATGTGACCGAGTTGCAAGCACCTCCAAAAATCAGCACTTACACGGTTTTGATCTCTGCCCAGTTTTTTTCTCATGACTACTTAAGACTGTAGCGATCTTGTTTCTCATCTGTCGATCTCCTTTTTGTAGATTGGTCCCTTCCAGTCATCTAAAGGCGAGAGGGCAAAGCTTAAAGTGAAAGTGAGATTGACCCTGCACGGAATTGTCTCAGTCGAATCAGCAACTGTAAGTTTCTGTTGATATAATTATAGCTATTATGAATCATCCAATGCAACTGGTTCCTTAGGTGGACTAATTTGTTTTCTATCCACTCATTGCAGCTTTTGGAAGAGGAGGAAGTTGAAGTTCCGGTCACAAAGGAACAGCCAGGGGAAACCACGAAGATGGACACTGAGGCAGCTCCTGCTTCTGGTGAATCCGATGTTAACATGCAGGACGCCAATGAAACCAGTGATGCAGCTGGCAATGACAATGGTGTTCCCGAGCCGGTGCAGATGGAAACTGATTCAAAGGCTAGTTTCTCTACTGAACTTAATGGTGTGCTTGCTCTTTTTATTTGCATTTGAACTTGAATTAATGGTATTGTTTAATGGGATATGCAGGTTGAGGCTCCCAAGAAGAAGGTGAAGAAAACAAATGTACCTCTGACAGAATTGGTCTACGGTGCTTTGCAAACCGTGGATGTCCAAAAGGCTGTGGAGAAAGAGTATGAGATGGCTTTGCAAGACAGAGTCATGGAGGAGACCAAGGACCGGAAGAATGCTGTCGAGTCCTATGTTTATGATATGCGAAACAAAGTGAGAATCCTTTTCTTCTTCTTCTGTTTTGTTTGCATTGAGAGAGTATGCATTTATAAGGTTTGGGCACTGACATTTGTTTTGTTTCTCAGCTGAGCGACAAATTCCATGAATATATCACTGATTCAGAGAGGGAAGCATTCCTGGCGAAGCTTCAGGAAGTGGAGGATTGGTTGTATGAAGATGGAGAAGATGAGACCAAAGGTGTCTATGTTGCAAAGCTCGAGGAGCTGAAGAAGGTAAAGAATATACACATGAAGGATGTGGCTACTCTTATGTGTGTTTTGAATATATGGTTTTTAACATGGTCTTGCTTATTGTAGGTGGGTGACCCTGTCGAGATGCGTTACAAGGAGTCTCTGGAAAGAGGATCGGTCATTGATCAGCTTGGTTACTGTATCAACAGCTACAGAGAGGCAGCTGTGTCTAACGATTCCAAGTTTGACCACATTGAACTGGCCGAGAAGCAAAAGGTAAAATTAATAAAATTCGAAAACAGAACTCTCTCTTTGTTTATTTTTTTTTTTGCGGACTTGAGAAGAATGTTAAAGATGTGTTTCTGTTGTCGTTGTTATATTGACTTGTTGTGCAATAATGATGTGAAGGTTTTGAACGAGTGTGTGGAAGCGGAAGCATGGCTAAGGGAGAAGCAGCAGCAGCAGGAGGCGCTTCCCAAGTACGCAACACCAGCTTTCTTATCAGCTGACGTTACAAGCAAGGCCGAAGCATTGGACAAGTAAGTTTGCTGCATTTGTAAGAGAGATTGCATTTTATATGGTAAGAGAGAATGAATCTCTAACTATAAAGTTTTGTTATGTTTGGCAGGTTGTGCAGGCCTGTAATGACCAAACCAAAGCCGGCGGCGCCTAAGGTGGAGGCACCACAAGCCAAGGCGGCTGATGAAGACAAGAGCGAGCCACAGCCAGAGGCATCTGGGGAAGAACCAATGGAGACAGAGAAGCCCACACAAGATAGTGCCTAAGAGCCAGAGAGATGATGGTGTTGTATCGATTTTGTTTTTATCTTCTTCTTCTTTTGTTAGTCCTTCTGGATTCGCTATTGTTCCCCGAAAGATTCTATATTTTTAATTCTTCCTTCGGATGATAACAATTTTCAGGAAGTATTGTTCCCTTTGTGTTTGCTTTATAACTATTTTATCGTGTGTGATGCGGATTAGTTCTTTTGTTGTTACATCTTTCTCAAGTGTTTTTCTTAACAGCAAATAGAGTTTCATTATGTTCGACAAATCGAAGAGTCAAACCCAGCCGAAAAATTGCAAGACTTCGAGAGTACAAATTCATTTCTGGTTTAAATAGATTCGTACCGGAAAACTAGTCATCAAACCCAGTATTGGGTGGGGAATTAGGTTTCCTATCATCGGAGTTGCAACAATTAACGCCGTCAATTTCGCCGGTAATATTATCAAAAACCAAACCAAGGATTCAAAAGCTCAGTCAATTCAGACTTTCAAAATTTCGTAGATCTGTTGGCACTGAATCTTTTAAAACTCGAACTACGATTGGAGAAAACAAAACTTTTAAGAGTTTTCATGATACTGGAGCTACTTTGCGCAAATAGTTCATCCAGAAGTTGAACCAACAGTCGAGAAAAGGAAAACTGAATTGAGAACCGAAAAAAGAACAGATGAAGGAGAAACGATCTAAACTGGATTGAGAAAAGCACAGATGAAGAAGAAACGATCTGGAAATTTTTGAGAAAAAAAAAAATTTGGACCATTTCTCGATTTGTGCGTGTCATCCTTGCGCAGGGGCCATGCTAATCTTCTCTGTATCGTTCCAATTTTATCGGATGTCCCCGAAGGGACAATCATATTGCTCACGCTAACGCTATATAAACAATGGTTTCTTCGCTCTAGTAACCGATGTGGGACAAAAGAACGTTTGGGGAAAGCATAATTAATTTGGGCCTTCCTTAATGAACTGTAAAAGCCCATTAAATAACTAGCCAGGCTTCTCATATTTTTTGTTAGACCCATTTACATCTTTCTTCTTCGACTTTTCAAAGTTTAATAATACTAAAAAATCGCGTGTAGTGGAGCCGCGTAAATTGAAAACGACAAGTTTTCTTCATAATCAATTACACAACCCAAGTGAATTAATTGCAGAGACGAGTAGAATCTTCTACTTCTGAATAAATCAACCACTTAGGATTTATCGCCGGAGATTTGTGGACATGGACGGGATTCTTGCAGCGGTTCCATCTGTAATGTGTGGTGTCTCTCTACGCAGTTCTTGTCGGAACAGGGCCAATGCTGCTGAATCCAGACATCGTTCCTTAGGAAATTCCCCGAATCCAATTTCAGTGCTTCAAATTGGGAATTGCGTTTCTTCTCTCTCGATTTATCCTTCTCAAAAATGCAATCCAAAGCGACATTATGGTGAACCCTCGCGAGTAATCGTAAAATCCGCCGCTTCGTCAGGTAAAGGCTGAACCTTTCTTCTTGTTGTTAAGAGCAAAGAAGCAGAGATAGATTTGGGAATTGTAGTGTATATAGTCTTTGTTGGCATGATTTTGCTTTGATGGTTTAGATTTAATCAATCATGGGATCTCCGAGAACAAAAAAAAAAACACCTTCTTGAAGAAAACAGTGTTAACTGTTAAGAGTTAGCAAAGAATCGTTTTAGAAATCAATAACAGCAAATCGGATATGCATTTTGAATTTCAACCTTTTTGGTCTGTGTAGTTGGAAATGCAGACGAGTACGCCGAAGAACCAGCTACAAGCGTCAAGTTTCAGAGATCAGTGACATTACCTGGTTGTTGTAGCCCGCTCTCGTTGCTTGGCACTGGTCAGTTTTAGCCAAATCTGCATTTCTTTAGCTTTGGGATCTTGTATAGATGAAATGCTTATAGACTTGCTCTGAGACTTACTTCCGTGAACCTATCTTTGAAAAAAATCAGGGTTTAGGGAGAAAAAGTTTGCTATCATCGGTGTCAAAGTCTATGCTGCGGGTTTTTACGTGAATGAATCTATCCTTACGGAGTTAAGCGCTTGGAGAGGGCGATCTTCTGATGAGATTCAAAGAGATTCATCACTGTTTAGTTCCGTTTTTCAAGGTAATGTGATGCTAAAGATGAGAGAGCTTTCTTCATCCACATTTTGATCTCTCTCTCTTGAGTTTTCTTGTTTTCATCGATGCAGCTCAAGAAGAGAAATCGTTGCAGATTGTTCTTGTGAGAGATGTTGATGGTAAGACCTTCTGGGATGCACTCGACGAAGCCATATCGCCGAGAGTCAAATCTCCGTCTTCTGATGACAAAACCGCTCTCTCTACATTCCGTGGGATCTTCCAAAACAGATCTCTCAACAAAGGAAGTGTCATACTCTTGACTTGGATCCATCCTTCTAAAATGCTTGTAAGCCACCGTTTTTTTTCAGGCTTTGGCGTACTGAGATGTTCGTTTGTTTACACACAGATCTTTTATTGTTTTGGTTCTGTTTTTTTGTTTGTTGGTTAGGTTTCTGTTTCGTCTGGAGGATTGCCAACGGAAGTGGATGCATCGATCGAGTCAGGTAATGTAACATCTGCTCTGTTCGATGTGTTCTTTGGGGATACTCCTGTTTCTCCTACATTGAAATCTTCTGTGGCTAACCAAATTGCCATGAGCCTTAAGTAAATATCAGATTGTTATTGTAGAACGTGAATCTTGCAATGTGTTAATCTCTGTTTTTAGTCAGATAAAGATAACTAATGGAAAATCTGAAATACCATGTACCAGAAATCTCTTTCAAAACTTATTTAGATATATGATTGTGGAAGAAGACATATGAATGAGAGATTACATGGTTATTTTTTTGATTTATCACATGATGCATATTTTATATCTCCCACTAGAACACTATTATATCTTTTGCATTAGTTCGTAAATTTTTAATATGTGTAACAACTCAAATAAAGAAACAAACAGTATAATTCTGATGGTGGAGATTTTTTGAGTCTTTTGAGTCAAAACTGTAAAGTAAACGGATACAAGAGCATGATTCATGTGCTGAATATCGTGTGATTTTAGCATTATTCACTCTTATTATAAGCTTTGGCCTATCCTATATTATGATAAATTCGTTTCAATGCTTTTAAATGTAATTATAGTCATTTTGAAACCTTCACATGAAGTTTGTAAACGAGTTTCTACATTTTTGTTTTTTTTATAAAAAAAAAGTGAATAATACAGTTTATATGTATGTGTGACTGTCTTTTTCATGCTTTAAGTAATGGACCAACTTTGCAACTCACTTAAATTTGTTTGAATGTTTGAATGCCTCAAATACAACAAAAACAATAATGTTGATATTTTCCCATATTAAATCTAGATCAGATAAAATATTAACATAATAGTCTTAGCCTTTTGATGGATTGTGCCCCCTTATGAGATAAACTTTTAATTTGAGCCAGACATAAAAAAAAGTTAGTCTTTTCAATAAATACAAACGCCAATTTGTGTAAATTGACATGTGAAAATCATCAACACCTTTAGTTTCTCACCAATTATATGAGAATAATCTTATCTTTATGTAGTTCTTTTTCTTGCAAGAACAAGACTAAGACATTCCAATGTGGATTGCAATCTTTCTCTTTATAATATAAGCGACAGAAAATCAAATATCGAGCCAACAACTTGATCCTTCGAGGGTCCTTTTCTCAATGGAATGTTTGTTAGTATCAAATATGGTATTTTTTATCCATATATATTAAAATGTATATCGTCTTTGAACCGGTATAATCTCTATGATTAGTTATTAAATTACATATAAATCTGATACTACCAATATCTTCTACAAATATTTGTTAACATAGAATTAGTCAACTGGATGGTTATATATATTTTGTCATATTGATTCCTCAAAAGGATACGAAGAATTATTATTGTTTTGTAAGTGTTACCATCACGTGGGGCTAAATTGACCACTTGGCAAAAAGAGTGGCTACATTTTAAATTAAATTTTTGAAAAGGGGTGAAAATCGGAACTAGAGAAAAAAAATAAACAACGATCCAAGTCCAGCAACAGTTGGCTTAACGAATGAGTCGTTTTCAAAAAAGGTCGTCAACAGTGGAGAAAACTATAAAAATACCCTCAGAGTTACCAATAATAACGATGATGCCATTCATGTGGGATTTGTCACCCGTACGCAATAAGTACCAAGCGAATTGCTACAATTAGAAATAAATTTTTATTTGAAATTTAGAAGACATAAAAACTCAAATTCGGTATTTTTTAAAAAATCTTCGGATTCTCTCTCTCTCTCTCTCTCTCTCTCTCTCTCTCTCTCTCTCTCGTCTTCTTCTCCGTTCGCTGGATCTAGGTTTTGTTTGTTTGTTCTCTTCTCGTCTTCTTCACTCTCTGGGCTTTTAGAGCTCGTCTGGTTTTGGGAGTTTAACGAATCTAGGGTTTTTCTTTTCTCTCGATAAAAAGCCCGTCGGGATTTTGGTTTCTGTATTTTCGTCTGTCTTAGATACAACGATTCGCCATTTTCTTTTGATTTCTGAGATTATTTTCGGAGGTTTTGAGTTTCCAAGTTTTGTTCGTGTCGATCGGCTTTTTCTATCTCCGTCGAATAAACTAGGGCAAAATTTGAGTTGATAACATTGAAGAGGATGCAACAAAATCAAGTGAGGAAGGTTCGTCTCTCTCTTTCTCTCTCAATCATCTCTCTGAAACAAAGAGAATCTTTAATTTGGCTGATAATGTGCTAAATAGTGAATAAAAGTCTTTCCTTTCTCAAATTAACAACAAAAATCAGCTTTCCTATTTCAATTGCAATTAGGTTCTTAATATCCGTTGTTTCATAAATCTGGCGAACTTTTGTTGCATGAGCAAAATTCCATCTAGTTTCTTTACGATTTTCTGTGGGTTCTTACTTTGTTTGTGTACTCTTGTCTCTGCTTCTTGTGATTCACCAGGATACGAAAGAGATGGAGTTTTTCACAGAGTATGGTGATGCTAACCGTTACCGGATTCTCGAGGTTATTGGCAAAGGAAGCTATGGAGTTGTGTGTGCAGCTATTGATACGCACACTGGGGAGAAAGTTGCTATTAAGAAGATTAATGATGTCTTTGAACATATCTCTGATGCGCTTCGAATCCTCCGCGAGGTGAAGCTTCTTCGGCTCCTGAGGCATCCAGATATAGTGGAGATCAAAAGCATCATGCTTCCTCCTTCTAAGAGGGAGTTTAAAGACATTTATGTTGTGTTTGAGCTCATGGAATCGGATCTTCACCAAGTTATTAAAGCTAACGATGATCTGACTCGCGAACACCACCAGTTTTTCCTCTACCAAATGCTTCGTGCCTTAAAGTTCATGCATACAGGTTCAGTTCTTTTCATCTTTTAGACATGAGATTGCCATGGTGTTTTCTTCTAATCGGTGGTTGCAATTAATTGTATTGTCTTTCTGGGTGCAGCTAATGTTTATCATCGTGATCTTAAGCCAAAGAATATACTGGCAAACGCAAACTGCAAGTTGAAAGTTTGTGACTTTGGATTGGCTAGAGTCTCGTTCAATGATACTCCTACAACGGTCTTTTGGACGGTTTGTAGCCTCGTGGCCACCTTTTGTTTGTTAACTGTTTCAGTTCTGTGTGTTTAACTTTTTCTTTTTGCTATGTTTTTTCACAATGCAGGACTATGTTGCCACAAGATGGTACAGAGCGCCTGAGCTCTGTGGATCTTTCTTCTCTAAGGTATGTGTTGATGTGGACTTAAAACTCTTTTTCACACTGCCTCACTTCTTCCTTTACACTTTTTCTGTACTTGTCTATGCCTATGTATGTATTGTATATGGTTGGTGTAGAATATCTGCGGAGTACTGTTGAAAGATATAGTGGATATTTGATGTTGCCTGTATTAGTATAGAGTTGTGTCCCTATGGGATTTCGCATATTAAAATAGTTCTTGTTCAGGGATGACTTTGAACTCTCCCGGAAGTTGAAAATCTGTGAATCAGGTAACCTTGTATCAGGTTATGTCCATTGAGTGGTTTATTTTGCATCTGCAACTTCATATTTATGAAACTTTTATATTTTTTCTCATTAGTCTGATTAACAGTTACTATCTTCTCGCAGTACACTCCAGCTATCGACATTTGGAGCATTGGCTGCATATTTGCAGAGGTACTAACAGGGAAGCCATTGTTCCCGGGAAAAAGCGTTGTTCATCAGTTGGAGTTGATTACTGATCTTCTTGGCACACCAAAATCAGAGACAATATCTGGAGTATGACTCCCTTTGTCTGCTTCATTGTCATTTGCCTTTATATGTTTATTTTTGAATTGTATAGCTAAGAATCTATTTCTATGTTACAGGTTCGAAATGATAAAGCTAGAAAATACTTGACCGAGATGAGGAAGAAAAATCCTGTCACCTTCTCTCAGAAATTCTCCAAAGCAGATCCTTTAGCGATCCGACTTTTGCAGAGGCTGTTGGCTTTCGATCCAAAGGATAGACCAACTGCCGCAGAGGTCTCTCTCTCTTCTGTGATGTTTACTTTGTTATTAGATTCTTGTTCCTTTCTTCTTCTTGTTTACCTCTGCTTACTTGGCCACCGTTGTGTTTCGTTTCGATAGGCATTGGCTGATCCTTACTTTAAGGGTCTTTCGAAAGTTGAAAGAGAACCTTCGTGTCAGCCAATCTCGAAGATGGAGTTTGAGTTTGAGAGACGAAGGTTGACAAAGGAAGATATTAGAGAACTAATTTACAGGGAAATACTGGAGTACCATCCTCAGCTGCTCAAGGACTACATGAGCGGATCTGAGGGATCAAATTTTGTTTATCCTAGGTTTTTATTCTTCCTCCTACACTTTTCACTATCACATCGCCAAATGAAGCATTCTTCTGGCTTTTCATCAATTTTGCTAAATTCTTGACTTCTTCATTGCAGCGCCATAGGACATCTTAGAAAGCAGTTCACGTACTTAGAGGAAAACAGCAGTAGAAGTGGGCCGGTGATACCTCTCGAGAGGAAGCACGCGTCGCTTCCTCGGTATGTTGTCTCTTTTTGTTCTTTCTTCAGTTGCTTCATAGCATTTGTATAGAGCTTGCCTTCCATAAGCAGAGTTTCATCTGTTCTCTACCTCTTGAATCCTCCACAGGTCTACCGTTCACTCCAGTGTAGTCCATTCCACCATTCAACCCAACATGTGTGCGACAGAGAGTAGACGTGTTTCTTTCGAGCCTTCAAGGAATGGAGAAGTTTCTGCAGGACATGCATCAACTTCCTCATATCCAACTAAATCTTTAGGACCACCACCAAGAGCACCACCTCCATCAGGTAAGTACCTCGACCACACCACCAAACACTACTATTCCCTAAGATTAGAAACTGTGACCCATGAAGCTGTTTCATTACAGGTAGACCAGGTCGTGTTGTGGAATCATCTGCAACTTATGAGAATGGTAGGAACCTCAAGGAAGCTTATTTCAGAAGTGCGGTATCATCTCCTCACTGCTACTCTCGAGGAAACACCACGAGCCACAGCAACGTAGAAGCTTCTTCTCAGCCAAAACCGCACCAGTTCAACCCCACCGCGCCGCCGCCTGCTGCTACTACTAACCAAACGAACGTCGAGATTACGAACCACCCAAACCCTTATTTTCAATCACAGCTCCCCAAGATAGATCAGTTAAGCAACAGCAACACACATATGGCCATTGATGCTAAGCTGTTGCAGGCGCAATCACAGTTCGGTCCAGCGGGAGCAGCAGCGGTTGCGGTAGCGGCACACCGGAACATTGGCACAATTAGTTACGGCGCAGCATCGTAGACTCATCAAACAAACAGCATTTTCAGACACATCTTTAACTTACATCACCCTCCAAATCCAGGCAACGCGAAACCAGGTGATTCCGGTCTCGGTCTCTTTATGTAAGTATTATTCAGCCAGGCTCTGATTTAAACAACTTTGCAGTGATATTAATAAAAGACTTTCAGTTGTAACTCACCAGAACAAGATCGCTTAGATCAGTCTGATCCCGGGTTATCACCGGTGATTGTTTCGGTTATCTTGTTTGCTCCATAGTCTTTGAATTTGTTATAAGCGTAGTTCATCGAAGAGAAGAAAACCGTCGTGATTATATACTTCTTAAACTTCAAGATCGGTCCCATTACTCCTTAATTGTTCTTCAACAATGATGAATCTCTTTGTCTATCAGAAAATTGATTGATCTATTTGGCTATATAGAGAGAATCATTAGGCCGAAAATTGTGGAAGTCAACAAAAGTCATTGGTCCGTAGATCTTTCTCATCCGTAAATCAATCTTTTGCACATTATAATTAGCCATTTTATTCAATGGTTACCAGTAAAAAAGATATGTAAAAGATAATTTCGAATTCTTGACGCCATTAAAGTGTCTATATAATTTACCCGCCAATTTAAGATAACCGGTTTTATGGGCCTGAACTCAGCACATTAAAGGTTAACATTTACTATAATAATTCAATGAACTTAACTCCTTTTCTTCAATTACATGAAAAAGTGCATTTTTGTCTACTTGATTTTTTAATTGATGAAAAAGGAAGTAAATTAATTATTCCGTTACGTGACCTTAAGCATCAGCATTGAATCATCTGTTATGTTTAATTTCAGGTCTTTTCTTGTTGAACTGATGATTGATATCAGGTTGACATGTGATATTTCTATTCAGTCTAGAATTATTTGTTTTTCTAACTGAACATATGTACGTTTTATCATAAACAAATCAGGGATTTTATTAAATCCCAAGTTTAACCTTCCAATAAAAGAAATCATATTTTTATTCAGTTTAAATCATTTTAAGAAATATATATCAGACAAAAATGCAAAATATTTTGTTTACTTCTTCCACAATTAATTAATCTCCTTAATTATACAAATTTTATTCTCTTTTTATTTTTTGGAATTTTCTTCTATTAGTATAGATTTTGTGTGAAAAAATAAACAAAAAAAAGACATCAAATTTTTATGTCGGACGCTAAGCTCACGTAAAATCCGTAATATCTAAGACAAGTAAGGGTAAATTTGTCAATTGACCCCTACGGTTCTCCGTAACTGTCTCAGGATATATGAGGCGCACTGTTCAGAGACGCTCCGTAGACCGTAGATTCCCTCTTCTTCCTCCTCTCTCTCTCTCTCTCTCTCTCTCTCTCTCTTCTCATAGAAGTGTCTCTCTCTCTCTCTTAGGATTCTTCTCTGATTCTAACCTGAATTGTGTCGGTACGTGATATGTTGCTCTCTTTTTGTTGCTGCTGAAATTTCCATAATGCTTTAAGTTAATTTTGCGAAATGCTATACGTGAGTAACGGACAAGTGTACAACATCAGACAACTGATCTTGTTTTTGTTCTTTTTTTTAGATTTCTGTGTTGTCGGTTTATGATCCCATATGAAAAGTTCATTATTTTTGTTCGTATAAGATCTGGCTACTGAATTTATTCGGTTTTGGCGATTGGATCTGGATCTGCCTTTATTCTGATTTCCTTTCATATGATCCGTTCTGAATTTTCGAATGATACTGTGACGTTATTGTTGTTGTTGTTGCAGATACTTGATTTCAAATGGCTACTACGTATAAGCCTAAGAACATTCTCATCACTGGAGCTGCTGGATTCATTGCCTCTCATGTTGCCAACAGATTAATCCGTAGCTATCCAGATTACAAGATCGTTGTGTTGGACAAGCTTGATTACTGTTCAGATCTGAAGAATCTCGATCCTTCGTTTTCTTCTCCAAATTTCAAGTTTGTGAAAGGAGATATCGCGAGTGATGACCTCGTTAACTACCTCCTCATCACTGAAAACATCGACACCATCATGCACTTTGCTGCTCAAACCCATGTTGATAACTCCTTTGGTAATAGCTTTGAGTTCACCAAGAACAACATTTATGGTACTCATGTCCTCTTGGAAGCCTGTAAAGTAACAGGACAGATCAGGAGGTTTATTCATGTGAGCACCGATGAAGTCTATGGAGAAACCGATGAGGATGCTGCTGTAGGAAACCATGAGGCGTCTCAGCTTTTACCCACAAACCCATACTCAGCCACTAAGGCTGGTGCTGAGATGCTTGTGATGGCTTACGGTAGATCATACGGACTGCCGGTTATTACAACTCGTGGGAACAATGTTTACGGTCCTAACCAGTTTCCCGAAAAACTGATTCCTAAGTTCATCTTGTTGGCTATGAGTGGGAAGCCGCTTCCGATCCACGGAGATGGATCTAACGTAAGGAGTTACTTATACTGTGAAGACGTTGCTGAAGCGTTTGAGGTTGTTCTTCACAAAGGAGAAGTCGGTCACGTCTACAACATCGGGACAAAGAGAGAAAGAAGAGTGATCGATGTGGCGACAGACATCTGCAAACTTTTCGGGAAAGATCCTGAGTCGAGCATCGAGTTCGTGGAGAATCGACCGTTTAACGATCAAAGGTACTTCCTTGATGATCAGAAGCTGAAGAATCTGGGTTGGTCAGAGCGAACCGCGTGGGAAGATGGACTGAAGAAGACAATGGAATGGTACATTCAGAATCCTGAGTGGTGGGGTGATGTTTCTGGAGCTTTGCTTCCTCATCCGAGAATGCTTATGATGCCCGGAGGAAGAGTTCCTGACGGCTCCGATGAGAAGAATGACTCGTCAAGCAACGCGGTCCAGACATTCACGGTTGTAACACCGAACAACAAGACTGGTGGTTCTAGTGACAAAGCTTTCTTGAAGTTTTTGATCTACGGTAAGACTGGTTGGATCGGTGGTCTCTTAGGGAAACTATGTGAGAAGCAAGGGATTACTTATGAGTATGGGAAAGGACGTTTAGAAGATAGAGCCTCTCTCGTCGCGGATATTCGCAGTATCAAACCGACCCATGTGTTTAACGCTGCTGGTTTAACTGGCAGACCAAACGTTGACTGGTGTGAATCTCACAAACCAGAGACCATTCGTGTCAATGTCGCTGGTACTTTGACTCTCGCTGATGTTTGCAGAGAGAATGATCTCTTGATGATGAACTTCGCCACCGGTTGCATATTCGAGTACGATGCTGCACATCCAGAGCGTTCGGGTATTGGTTTCAAGGAAGAAGACAAGCCGAATTTCACTGGCTCTTTCTACTCAAAAACCAAAGCCATGGTAAAATACTAATATCTATAACTCATGACAGTCTCGAAACAAAGAAGAGTGTCTTTGTTTATAATCTGGTTCTGCTTTTTTCTCTTCTTCTTTGTTCACCAGGTCGAGGAGCTTCTGAGAGAATTTGACAATGTGTGTACCTTGAGAGTGCGGATGCCGATCTCATCAGACCTAAACAACCCGAGAAACTTCATCACGAAGATCTCGCGGTACAACAAAGTGGTGAACATCCCGAACAGCATGACCATACTGGACGAGCTTCTGCCGATCTCCATCGAGATGGCGAAGAGAAACCTAAGAGGGATATGGAACTTCACCAACCCAGGGGTGGTGAGCCACAACGAGATACTGGAGATGTACAAGAGTTACATCGAGCCAGGGTTTAAATGGTCCAACTTCACAGTGGAAGAACAAGCAAAGGTCATTGTTGCTCCTCGAAGCAACAATGAAATGGATGGGACTAAACTAAGCAAGGAGTTCCCAGAGATGCTACCAATTAAAGAGGCGCTGATCAAATACGTCTTCGAACCTAACAAGAGAACCTGAGACCTGAACAGCACTCTTCGCCACAAGTGCTTACCTATAACTGTTTCCTTTTCTTTCTTTCTCTTTCAACAGAAATGTCTTTTTATGTTTACTCATCGTCTTATGATCCTTGTAGGTAGTTTCACTATATTGATTCTACTAAAATATGATTTATCATTATTATTTATAGAGACTAAAGTTTTTTTTTTCTTTCTCAAATTCTACATTTCCCCTCGGATTTTACTTACTAAGAGACAGTAGTACACTTATAAAAATGAAGAGCCACTTACTGGTTGTGATCATTAGGGATTCCACCAAGGCAGGTTCAAAACACTTGAACTTGATTATTAAGCTATAGCCTGAGAAGAGAAGCAAACAACAAGTGTTGATTTGAAATAAACCGAAGTATATGATGTGAATTTGGTCAATATTCAGGGTTATAGTTTTCTTACGTGAACAGTTGAGGGCGGGAACGAGAGAGCTGAGAGCGTTTAATAGGGGAGAGAATAAGGTTTCGTAGAGTTGACTGGGGATTAGCAGCGCCACCACCACCGCCAAATACAGGATGTCCTCCTCCTCCTGCTCTTCTGTTTCCAAGGTCTGTTGGAATTGCGGGTGAGTCGTTGGAGATGTCGAATGGACCTGAGTTTGAACTGTTCTGTCTTGCTGGCCAAATCTCATCTTTAGGTCCTGGTGTTGCAGGAGAGTAAAACGACCGGTCTGCGCCAAATAAGTCAACTTGATTTGGAGATATTAACCAACAATAGACTTGGAATCAAAAGAAGCACTAGGCTCAAGGTAGTTCATTAACCTTTGCGAGGGGGCTCTCTGTTCTCCATCATGTTAACTGGTGGGTTTGAGAAAAAGTCAGGTTCGTGGTGTCGTGGGTAGAAATTGTTTGCTGGTTGGATGGCTGTACGTTTACATGACTCGTATTCACTTCTTAGCTGGTCATACATCTCATCGAGCTTCCTCTTCTGTCTGGTGTTTGAAACAATAATTACAGCTGAGTTAGAGATAAGGAACAGAACCAGGCAAACAAAGCGTGTGTTAAATCACTGACCTTGATTTCTCGGAGAACTTCTCTTGGAGCTCTTGTTTATCCTTGGTCAAGTTTTCTACCTCTTGCTCCATCATCTGACACCTCTTGCCCATCTTCTGGTATGCTGTATGCACCTGCTCCATTTTCTCGCTAAACTTTGCTTGCATACCCTCGCATTTCTGACGACACTGCGCGACAACTCTATTCATCTTGTACTGCATCTCTAAGTCTCTTTGCGAAATGTAAAACATTACGCTTCGGTATGCACTCTTCATCACTAGACTCAATTAAGGAAAACAGAAGGAGGTTTCTAGAACCTTAAACTGTTGTTTTATTTTTTTTTAACAAATGCAAAAGATACAGTGAGTTTATGGGAGAAGTTATAGCACTAGAGTTAAGTAATCAAATACAGAGGGAGATTTTTCAAATGAAGAACATAATTGCGACTAGTACCAAGAGTGAAAAGGACTACACTTATGAAAAGGATACGTATTTGTGGAGAGATTCCAGCCATTGCCATCTGATAACGAAGGTAAGCAATGAGGAGAGATGTAAGATGGGAATATTGGCAAGAGTGGAAAAGAAGAGAAGCTATAGCATCCTTCAACCACTTACATTTATCCATTCTTCATTTGGATTGATATCCACGGGTTTCATTAGACTAAAATGGAACACAAAGATAAACTGTCAAATAGGAAATAAGGCGGCTACAGCTAAACTGAATCTAGGCAAGTAGCTTAGGGAGGATTTTACCTCTTGGAGAGTACTTGATCGCAAATGGGACATGCCCCATCATTACTGAGAATCTTGCTAGCATCTTCAGTGCCTTTTCATGATGTTAAGGTCATCTTATTCAAGCTCAAAATTATTTTATCCATCAAGACAAGGCTAAAGAACACTGAGAGAGTAGAAAACAAAAGTACAAGTGTAAAGTTGGATACATAATAAGTGACCGCATGTTGTGGAAATGGCCCGGCCCTCAAGTTCTCTCCAGCAGGCGTTGCACCTCATGTTAGCCTCTTATATAAGTATCTCAAGCTGCTACGCACCTGTGAATTAAATTCAAATCAAATTAGATGAAGAATCATGCTCTAATCAAAACTCCAAATCTCCATAGTCCTATTGAATTAGAGTTTCCATCTTTCAATTCATCTATTCCACATATCACAAGCCAAAGTCAAGCGTTTATACAGCCATTGAAGAAGAACTAAACTCGTTGAGATCACCAAGAAAATAGAATTACCAACACAGATTTTGATCAGCCAAATTTCATTCTAACTACTGCAAATTGTTAAAATGCAGACACGAATTGGCGAAAATACCAAGTAAGCAATAAATCGATCGAACTTGAGATACAAAACTTACGGTTACTAAGATAATCGTTATCGATCAAGAGGTCAAGCCGGGATAAGACGAATTTCAGGACGGAAACCCTAGAAATTCAGCATAAACTGCACAGACTCCAGAGATCTGCAAATCATCGCGAAGTAGAGATTACGGCGCTGATTATGAAGATATGAAAAGTGTTCGATTGCACAAAGCCCGAAATTAGGGTTTCCACATCACAACGATCAACCTCAACGACACAGTTAGATGACGACTAATCTAAGTTATTTTTCTTCAAAACGACGAGAAATAGGTTTACGAATCTTTGAAAATTGACGCAATCCTTAGAAATTTGGAAAGAAGATAGGTCTAGAAACGAAACAACAGAAGGAACGCGAAGATCTAAACAAGGAAATTGAAGAAGTGTACCTTCGATTTTGAGGGGCAGAGAGAGGACGCGTCGCACAGATCCGGCGGAATCTGAAGAAGGCCACCGAAAAAAAGAGCGAAGAGTCTCAAGTTTCATCAATTGAAGAAGAAGCAGATAAGAATTGGAGAGAAAACACACGAGTTACAAGGATCGTCACCTCTCGCTGATTTCAATGTCCGCGCGAGAAACGACGATTTGAAATTTCCAGAAATATTGAGCTGCAGAAAAAAAAATGATTTTAGCCGTTGAGCGCGAGGGGGGTGAGCAATATATAATATTCATCGAAAATCAGTAATTTTAAAATAAAAGGGACAGCCGTATTGTAGATGAATAAACGGCGTCGCATAAGGTTTCTGCGTAGTAACAAAACGCATATCGTTTATGCGTAGTACAAAACGACGCCGCTCTCATTCTCAAGGTTTTGTTCATTGGTAATCTTCAACAGACACAGCACAAGCTTTTATTGCATGATGGCTATCACTACAAAAACAGATTCCGGTTTCACATTTCATATATAAAGAATCCTCAAGGTCTCAAAACAATCAATAAAGAGAGAGTAAAAAAAGCAAGAAGAAGAAAAAATTCTCTCTTTTCACTCACTCTCTACAAATACAAACAGTACAAAAACTCAAAACTTTTCCAATCTTTAAGCATTGCGTTGTTGGTTCCAGCTTGCAGGAACACGATCAGAAGTGATCGGAGTAGCAGAAGAAGGAATGCTTTTGATGTTGATGTTGAGAGGATATAACCGAAACTCGATATCCAACTCTCTGCAATATCTACCAATCTCTTCAAGCAATTGACCTCTCCTCACAAATCTCTCTCCCATGTCTTGATGATTCATCTTATGCGTTGGCCACATCGCGATCTTCACACTGTTCAGTCCACACATATCTCTAAACACAATCATCGGTGATGGATGCCAATGATCCTTCTTGTTATCTATATAGCTGCATAAAACAAAAAAAACAAACAGAAAACCATTGAATATGATTCATATTAAGCTATGTTTTCTTTCCAAATTTAGGGTTTAGGGTTTCGTTTCTAACCTGAGTATCCTCTGTTTCAAGGCGGTTGTCTTTTCAGGAGGAGTTGCAATATGGACAAAGAACTCAATGGCATCTTGCATGTCGGGACTACGGTAATAGTTAGCGATGGGTTTGGTGCCGAGAAGACTGTTCGGGTATACAATCTTCTGATTATCGAATCGAAGAAAGACAGTAGTGAGAATGTTCATCTCTTCCACAATCATCTATACATATAGAAAACAGAGGATTAGCTTTTTTTCTTCAAGTATTGTGTTTGTGTAAATGCAGAAACAGAGTTTCAAGGGACAAACCTGGACACCATCTATCTCACACCTGTCACCGACATCAAATGGATGCATAACGAACACGAAGATGACAGCTTCGAAGATTGTTTTGCATGAGTTTCCAAACACAAACACTACAAGAAGAAGCTGAGAGCTTATGACAAGCAAGAACTTAGTTGTAGCGATTCCAAGGATGAGAAGCCAGACGATTATGATCACAATGCTGACCAACACATCTACGATTCGATGAAGCCTGTTCACTGCTGTTTTTGTGTCGTTTAATGTTAAAGCTAGTGCTCTTCGCTCTCTAAAGGCATTAACCTAAAGAAATATTTTCAAGAATTTAGCATCGGTGTCATATGAATGAAAGTTTTTTTTTTTTTGAGATATCAATGTAAAACAAACACTGACCACCCAATTCTTCAAGCAGGATTTGCTGATTTTGTTACTTTCAGAAGCTCCTTCAAATAGACCCATGGCTCTTTCAGACTCATCTTCAGTCAGAAAACGCATAAAGTCTTCGATATATATGTACCTAGGAGCCAAAAAAAAAACTCTGTTACCATCTTGATCTTAAGGATGATCGAATCAAAGATGTACAGAAGATCATAATATATATATATATAGACCTGGATCCAGGCTCAGCAACATTCTGGAAAATCTTCCTTGCTGCAAGTTTCGCTTCAAACTCACTTCGTATCTGTGTGGCTTTGTCATCTTCGTGAGTGGTCGTGTCTTGTATCTGTTCATCCAAAGTAGAAAGAGTTCCTTTTCTTATTACATTCATCAGTCTCTTCATTTTCCAAGCCGATACGTTCTTAGTGTTCATTCTCTGCAAATGATCGATCCTTATCCCTCCCCCCTCTCCTTCTTTCTTGGAACCAGACCGCGAAAGCACCGGACTTTTACCGATTCTGGTCGGACTCTTCTGCAGCCTTCCGCTTCCAATGGTGACTTGTGGCGAAGGAGAAACCGCCATTGGACCCGGAGGAGATAGCTTAGCGCCAGCCATCTCCAAGGTCTTAATATCGTTAGCTACTTTCTCCTCTTCAATATGAATCTCAACTCGAGGAGGTCCCGAGAGAGTCTCAATCACGTATTGAGTGAACAACGATTCTTGAATCCGATCGAAGTAAGTACTCATATGGAACGATGAAGCGAGAACTTTAACCAGTAAGGTTTTTATGAGCCAGATGATGACAGCAACGAGTAAACAGACCAACACTTTAGTCACATACTTGAGCACTGTGCTCCCAGTCTCCCTTTCGACTTTCTTGTCGAACAAGAAATGCCAGGCGATCAGCACAAGCCCTAGCCAGAGACAGTTCTGCACCGCCTGTCGAATCCCATAGACGAAATACAAAACCCTCTTCCTCAGAAGGAAGTTGCTCTCGACGAAGTAGACGAACAGCTTCACTATCCAACTAGAAACCAACCTCCCACATATCAACACAAGAACCATCACTTCCCATTTCCACAAAGCCAGGTTCCACAGTTTCTTGCCACGCAAGAAAGGTATCACAAGGCTACAGATCAAACCGGCGATGATCAGAATCAGAAAAATCCATTCCATAATAAGCCAAAGACAAAGCTTATCCTTCTTGTAACCTTCCGGAAAATCCTCCTCCGAAAATGGATCCTCCTCTTCTTCCAAATCCATTGCTCCTCCTTGGTTTGGAGTTCCCGGTTTAGGGCTTTTCCCTGTAAACCCGGGTTTCAAATGCCCGGATTTTGGAGTCCGACCCGAAACCATCTCCGGATACGCAGGAGTTGGAGGATCCATCAATCTAGATCTTGTCTTTGTCTTCATCAAAGTCTTAGTCCTCAGCGATCTATTCGAGCTACACTTCACAACCTCTGATTCGTCTACTCTGTTTTCTTCTTCGTCGCTACTATCACTATCTTTAACAGACGGAGAAAGCGTGACTCTGTTATGCCTCCGTCTAATCGCATCGATGGGTTCGTTACGGTAACCAGCCGTCGCCGTTACTGGTGACGCAGAACCGGAAACCGCCGTTATCGGTGACGGAGAAACCGTGTTGCTTTGAAGCTCCGGCATGTTGGGTTCCATGTCGAGAGAGATCTCATCACCGGAAGCTTTTTGTTTGTTGAGAAACTGAGTTATGAGCTTTGACGGTGGATCTGGCTCCGCCGATTTCTCATTCCTTCGCCGCATAAATTCAAAACTCCCGTCGTCTTCACCACCGGATTTGCCGTTCTTGTCTTTCTGGTTACCGTGCCAATAACTATAACTTGACTCTCTCCAAAACTTTCCTCCATCGCCATTGTTGCTTGGCTCATTGTCTTCACCGTCGATCTTGACAACGAAATCTCGCCGATTATCAGTCGAATCAACGGCCATGCTTGGAAAAATAAAACTTTCTGGTAACGATTTTATTGGGTTTTGCACTTTCTAGTAAGGAAGTTTGGATATTTACTTTCTGTAAGTATTTTCTGAGATAAGGAAAAAGTTTGGTTTTTCTAGAAAGATGATGAAGAAAAGTTGATTTTTGATTTCAACATCTAAAGTGGTCGATGTTTAAATCCTTTTAATTAGGTTTATGATAATGTTGAACCATGTGAAATGTTATGATCTTGCTGGGGCTCGAAAACAATGAATCAACCTAGATAAGAAAAAAGAACTAATATTTAATTTCTTAATTTGTACAAAAATGGAGTTATGGACCAGGTGATATTTTTATCATTTCGTTTTTCCTTTTCGGCTTGTGAATCATTTAAAAACATTTCAGTAATACCAACTCATTTTTCTAATACAAGTACACCGACTCGTGTCTTGCCCTCGCTAATCAAAGTGTAAAACAAATACACAATTTAAAGTCAAAAGTACACAATTTTAAAAATAAAATGGACTAAATGGTAAACACACACTGCTCAAGAAAAATGGAGGCCATGTTCAATTGTTCAGAAACGAAGCAGTTGAAGAAGTAATAAAAATTGTTGTATGTACTCGTAATAATAAATTATCAGATTTGTGACGTGGTGAGATCTAACGGGGCAGAGGTTGAAAATTGAAATGTACTCATAGTTAATGGTATATCAGACACACACGTGGTTGGCTAAGGTTTGGTCTGCTTAAATAGTTATGTATTTTTTTGGAGTGAGGCGTATATACGAATAAAAAAAACCGACCTAATTCAAAACAAATAGAAAACGACAGGAAAGTGACACGTTGTTGATGAAAACGGCACGACGATTAGGATACATAGTGTTAGGTTACGTGAACCGACATGGTTCAACCAGATTGGTCACAGGAGAATTTGTTTTTGTATTATCATATAATTGTCTAATATAATAAAAAAAATACATAATTATTACTGGCCAGATAAAAGAGAATATAAATGTATCATTATTTTTTTTCTGAAAATTATATTTGCATGATCAGAAGAAAACAGTTTGATACATGTGAATAAAACAAAAAGAAATAGAAAGCTGGTTTGATGCATGTGATTTTGAAGATTTCCGAGATATTGTTGGAGAAGAAAAAAACATTTAATTGTTTCGGTTCAACAAACTAAAAAAATCTAGAAAATGAAATACAATGGTTTAACTTGGGTGTATCGTAACCAAAAATAAAAATTTCGGTTTTGTAATAATACTTCTTAAAAGAAATTTGAGAAGCCTGGCTAGTTATTTAATGGGCTTTTACAGTTCATTAAGAAAGGCCCAGCTTAATTATGCTTTCCCCAAACGTTCTTTTGTCCCACATCGGTTACTAGAGCGAAGAAACGATTATTTATATAGCGTTAGAGTGAACAATGTCATTGTCCCTTCGGGGACATCCGATAAAATTGGAACGATACAGAGAAGATTAGCATGGCCCCTGCGCAAGGATGACACGCACAAATCGAGAAATGGTCCAAATTTTTTTTTTCTCAAAAATTTCCAGATCTTCTTCGACATTTTCATTTCTCAATCCAGTTTTCCTTTTTTTCGACCTATAGTTTCAAACTTTTTCTCGATCCAGTTTTCCTTTTTTTCGACCTATAGTTTCAAACTTTTGGATGGAACATCCGCGCAAAATAGCTCCAATATCATGAAACTTTTTACTTTTTGTTTTCTCTAATCGTAGTCAAGAGTTTTAAAAGATCCAGTGCCAATAAATCTGCGAATTTTTGAAAGCCTAATTTTCTTCAATTAATGTTAAAGGGATTGTCGAACTCTCGAAATTTGACTTCATGAGATTGTTAATCCTTGGTTTGATTTTGACGAAATTTAACGGCGAAATTGACGGCGTTCATTGTTGCAAAACCGATGATCGGGACCCTAATTCCCAAATCTTGGTTTGACACAAGTTTTCCGGTACAAATCTATCTGAACCGAATACCGGTTTGGTTATATAATCTACCATCATTTTGGTTTTGAAGAACCGCTTCCTCTCTTCTGTCTCCTTCTAACACTCTAAAACCCTTTCGCGTCTCCATCTAGAGAAGCTGCAGGTGCTTCAATGGCTGTTTTATTGATTACTACTACCACCCAGTGAATCTGCCGAATTATCCTATCTTGCTGATTTCTGAAGCTTACCCTCTAAATCCATGGCGATTCTGCTCAAATCAGTTCTCCAAAATCAAACCTTGTTTAAGACTCTCGTGAAGCCATCGATTATTTGCAGAAATCTATCTTCGTCATCGGAACCTTATAAGAAGCCACTCTCTGTTTTATTCGAAGAGTCCGTAGGATTGAGACCGAAATCAGAAACGAGCGAAATCGTAGAAGAAGAGGGCAGCGAATTGAAGAGAAAGCTTTTGGAATTGGAGAGGAAACTCATCGAACTGAAGAAATCGGAGCCCGTGAGAAAGAAGAAGCAGAAAGGGAAGGTTGTTGTGACACCAGAGCAAACCGAGAAAAGGCATAATCTTTACACGCTGTTTAAAGGCGACGAAGAGAAGGATGTAAAGAAAAATAGTCGGGAGCAAGAGAAGGATGTGATTAAGGTTTTTAAGGAGCTTCCTTTAGAGATGGCTTCGTTTGTGAAGCTTCTGCATAAACAAGGGTATCTGAACAATGCTAATTTCATCAGTGGAGAAAAGCTGGATCTGGGGAGTCTTGATGAAGAGTATGCTAGAACTTTTGTTAAGTTTGCTGCGGAAAGATTCGGAAAGGATCACCAGGAAATAGCAAAGTAAGAATATTTACTTGTGTATCTGATCATACATTGTGTTTGGCTCTGTTTTGATTGTTGTTAAAAGGTTTGGATATTGTGATACCTGTTATGTTTCGTTTAGAGAAAAAATGTTTTGGTGAAATGTTCAGTCTAATCAATGATGAAAAACTTTGGCATGCTCAGCTCAAAATTTGTCATTGCACAAGTTCTATAAAGGTGTTAACATGTCTATGGGGATGATGAATCTTTTGTGATGAATTCAGTTCTTGTGGTTGGATCATAGACTAATTGTAGCATTGCTAGAGAAATTCTGATGTAAGAAGTGGCAGATACATTCATAGATGCTTCATGTATGGTCTTTGATTGCCTTAACACCCTGCAGCATTTAGTCTATCTTAGCTGTTGTTGCAGCTAGGGACTTTGAAACTGATTACGATCATCTTAGTTGCCTCCACGTCTTGTCATAACCTCAGATCCAACTTGCAGGTGGTTATCAGGTAGTGACCTGAAGAACATTGTGCAATTTGGTTGCCCGAGTTTGGAAAGAAGAGCGATATTCGCAGCTAAAACACTTCGCAAGTTTTTCGATATCCAAGAGAACAATGTAAGCAAGCTTCACACTACTACACTGCCTTTATCTCACTTCTCCTTTCCCCTATAGCCGCATCTAACCAAGTCTCTGTTTGGACATGATAGGTGTGCGATAAATGCGTGTTAAAAGAGAAGTGCAAGTTTCCAAACCAGAGTGTGTGGGATGGCAAGGTAAAGCACTTACATTTGTCTGTTGTGATGAAAGTCATCACACTATATCCACTGGACTTGACTCATCCGAAGCTACAAGTTCCTCAAGAGGTACAAGACTCGATCTCAAGGTTGCTGACAGAGATTCAGAACTTAAGCCGAACTATCTGTACTCCTCTCGCGTGAGTTAACCATATATGGATGATTGTTTGTAGTAGTAGACATCAATTTTAGGGTTCTTGCAACATTGAGGCTGTACTAAGGCTCTCAGTAAAGAAGATTCTTCTTTTCAACTTTCACTTCTAAGAGTACAGATCCGAATACTTGGGCTGTGTTTCGCTATTTGATCTTGATTTTCTGCCGTTAGTGACTGTTTTAGAATCGAGGACCTCACGAAAATAAATAAACGGGCCTAATATGTACTTACAATTAAGCCTAATGGGCCTTACAATTAGTAAATGGGCCGTAATAAAGCCCAACTGATTGCGTGTAGTTGAAGCATAGGGAAATTTATATGGTATACTAGGCTTTTAATTCGCGCTACGCGCGAATCTATATTAATAATTTGGTTTAATGTTTTGGTTAATATCTTTTAAATTATCAAAACTATAATATATTTATAGAAATTTTCTTTTATATACAAAATTAAAACATAATATGTAGTATTTCCTATTTTTGTTTATAAAATTATTAATCTTATAAAGTAAAATCATAGTAATGACACCTAACGAATTATCCAACTTCGATGTGCATATGTTTGATTTAGAAAATGATTTCCTTACTAAATTTTTGGTGTTTTGTTTTGTATCCTTAGGGTTTCTATGGTTCTTTTTTTTAAAAGGTTTATATGTTTAAATATTTAGTTTCTTTACTAAATATCTCACTAATGTTGCGTACATATACATATATAATATATGATATATGTTGATTCATATTTACTTTTGTTAGTAAGCTACACTAATCGTGTAAAGCTGTTTTTTGCTTCTCTACCAGATCTTCTACGAATTTTAGATTATGTTTCTATTCAGTTTATAAGATCTGTTTTATTTGCAGTCAACTATTTACTAATATTTGTTTTTAAACATGTAAGATGATGTTGAGACTTCACATTATCACTGTTTTTTTTATCTTTTGTGTGTTTATTCATGTTTTGATTTGAATATTTTATTTTCATATATTCCCATTTGAATTTGATTTATAACTTTGTTATATTATATTATTTAAATAAAATTTTAGAGGATGTTGCTCATGTGTTGTTCATGTTGACTGAGTTATAAGCAGTAAATATGTATACAAATCAGACTTTATTTCTTATTATATTTTGAATGTAAAGTTACTTGTGTAGTATTTTACTTTGTTAATTTTTCAATCAGACGCAACCAAGGTATTAATCTTTTGTAAATTTAAATAATATTTTTGATTTAGAAACTTGTATAACCTATTAAAATTTTATATGGTTATTCATAGTCAACACCAATATTTTAGAAATCATGAATGTTTTTGGAACTATATTTCAAAGTAATTTTCTTCTTAAATCTTGTTTTTTGTTATTTTAAATATCTTCGATGGTAATTTTATATTTTATTTAAATTATATAATTTTCTGCAGGTTTAATATAATTAAAACATATATATTTTTAATTAATCTCTTTTGTTATTGATTTTTCAAATAGGTAGCATATATATTAATCTAATATCTTTTACATAAATGTTTTATCTTTGTTTAATTTACTTTTTAAATTAATTAAAATGCTATTTTGACATGGTATGACTGGTTATTCTAAATTTTAAGTGAACTTCTCTCAAAAGCTTATACCATCAGTTACTTTTTTTAGTTAATATTTGTTTGGTAGTTAGCCTAAATATCAAGCTAATTTTACTTTATACTAATTTTTTCTTTGATAATTTACCTCTCTTGATATTAATTTTTATTTTATTTTAACACGTCATTGTTTTAAAAATATTGATATTTTGAAGACATAACTTTTTTGTTAGTTAAATATTTTAATATTAATTTTTTATGTAGTTAGTTAGTTATCAAGTCAATATATTTTTAAGTGTTTTTAATAATATTTTGTAAAACTTAATTTTCATTTTAGTTTTTTGTTAATTAATTTCTTAATATTGATTTCTTAAATAATTAGCTTAAATATTTATATTATTTTTGTTAGTTAATTTTTTTAGTATTATTTAAGTTTTTGTATTCTCTTACTTATTCTGTTGATATTGATTTTGTTAAATAAATAACATAGATATTAAGTTAATATCTTCTTTTTGTTAATTTAACTTTCTCGATATGAACTTTCATTTTAATTGTATTGACATGTTGTAAGAAATAATTTATGTTTTGGTGTTTGTTAGTTAAACATTTTTTTATATTGCGTTCTTCAGTAATTAGCATAAAGTATCATTTTTTGTTTGTTAAGATTTTAGCGTTAATTTGTTTAAATATTTCCCCAAAAAATATAAGTTTTAGATGACTTTTTTTTTTTTATAATTTAAGATGATTGTTTTTTTGGTAGTATTGATATTTTAAATAACAATTTTATATAATTATATGAAATTTAATCTTAATATTTTTTTTTCTAAATAAATTACTCGTTTAAAATATATATGCTAAATTATTTTTTAATTTAAATTTTTCGTTATTGATTTACATATTTGTTTTTGTTAGTTTAGTTTTTGTGACAATGAGTTTCCATTTTATTTTCACAATAGATTTAGACTTTTGACATTAAATTATTTTATTTAGTTAAAAAATTATCTTATTTTTCCATTCTATTGTAATAATTTTATATTTTTGTATGACTTAATTTATTTAGATTATTAATAATATTTTGTTTTTTTATGTTTAATGAAAAACGCTGATACAGACTAATCAGATTGAGTATAATGTCCTATGTGGACGCTCTCATTGGCCTAAGACATCAACACTGACCACAACTAATATATTTTAAGTTAGCAGTTCCGATTTTAATTGTTTGTCATGATTAAAATTTTAAAATAATTTAATTATAATTTTTAAATATAGTTTTTAATAATTTTGTTCAATATATATGATTTTTCTTTCATAATCTATTTATATGTTAATTTACTTTTTTATTGTTAATAAAAAATAAGATCTATTTGCAAAACTATAACTAACTTAAAATTTAGAAACTTTTCTAATAACAACAAAAACAAAATTAATCAAAATTTAGAAATTTTCCTTATAACAATTAAAACAAATTAATTAATTTTAATATACAGTATATAATTATCTAAAAATAATTATGATGTGTACCAATATTTAGAGGCATTTAGCATCAACGTTTATTAGTGATAGATATGATGCTTTTTCTTTGTTAAATTTACTTTTTAAATTAATTAAAATGCTATTTTGACATGCTATAACTGGTTATTCTAAATTTTAAGTGAACTTCTCTCAAAAGTTTATACAATCATTTGCTTTTTTTAGTTAATATTTGTTTGGTAGTTAGCCTAAATATCAAGCTAATTTTACTTTATAAGACTTTTTCTTTTGATATTTTACATCTCTTGATATTGATTTTTATTTTATTTTAACACACCATTGTTTTTAAAATATTGATATTTGAAGACATAAATTTTTTGTTAGTTAAATATTTTTATATGAATTTTTTAAGTAGTTAGTCAATATATTTTTATGTTTTAAAAAAATATATATATATTTTGTAAAACTTAATTTTTGTTTTAGTTTTTTAGTTAATTAATTTCTTAATATTGATTTCTTAAATAATTAGCTTAAATATTTATATTATTTTTGTTAGTTAACTTTTTTAGTATTACTTAAGTTTTTTTATTCTCTTATTTAATCTGTTTATATTAATTTTGTTAAATAAATAACATAGATATTAAGTTAATATCATTTTTTTGTTAATTTAACTTTCTCGATATGGACTTTCATTTTAATTGTATTGACATGTTATAAGAAATAATTTATGTATTGGTTTTTGTTAGTTAATCATTTTTTTATATTGCTTTCTTTAGTAATTAGCATAAAGTATCATTTTTGGTTTGTTAAGATTTTTTTGTTAATTTTTTAAATATTTCCTCAAAAATTATAAGTTTTATATGACTTTCTTTTTTGATAATTTAAGATGATTTGTTTTTTTTGGTAGTATTGATATTTTTAAATAAAAATTTTATATGTTTATATGTAAATTTAATCTTAATGTTTTTTCTAAATAAATTACTCGTTTAAAATATATAACTTTTTCGTTATTGATTTACATATTTGTTTTTGTTAGTTTAGTTTTTGTGACAATGAGTTTCTATTTTATTTTCACAATAGATTTAGATTTTTGACATAAATTATTTTATTTAGTTAAAAAAATTATCTTAATTTTCTTTTCTATTGTGATAATTTTATATTTTTGTATGTTTTAATTTATTGAAATTATTAATAATATTTTTATTTTTATGTTTAATAAAAAACGCTGATATAGACTAATCAGACTGAGTATATATGTCATATGTGGATGCTCTCATTGGCCTAAAATATCAACACGGACCACAACTAATATGTTTTAAGTTAGCAGTTCAGATTTTAATTTTTTGTATGGACTAAAATTTTAAAATAATTTAATTATGGTTTCAAATACAGTTTTAAATAATTTTGTTCAATATATATAATTTTTTCTTTCATAATCTATTTATATGTTAATTTACTTTTTATTGTTAATAGAAAAATAATATCTATTTTCAAAATTCTTTTTTATTAATAACTAACTTAAAGTTTAGAAACTTTCCTAATAACAACAAAAACAAAATTAATTAAAATTTAGAAATTTTCCTTATAAAAATTAAAACGAATTAATTAATTTTAATATATAATATATAATTAAAAATAATGATGATGTGTACCAATAGAATTGTATCTTTAAATCCTATGTGGACACCCTTAGAGACATTTACCATCAACTTTTATTAGTAATAGATATATAAAGTTTTAGTCCCACTTACTTTGATCACAGTCTAGGGTTAAGTCAAATCGCCATGACAGAACGGAAGCAGCAGATCTCGAAACAATGTTGGTGATATAATCCACATGCATCTTTTTGGAAGAAGTAGAACACTTAGATAAGTTCCACCTTAGTGTTTAGGTTTAGTTTCCCCTTGGCATCGCGTCACCATCTTTTACGAATTATACACGCATTTCACAAAAATGATGTGAAACACTTTAGATAAGGTTGTTTTAGGTTTAGATTGAAATGTTGGTAAGTCTCCAAAAATGTTAGGTTTAGATAGAATCCAAAATATTTTTTAAACGACATGATGCATACAAAACTATTATGTTATTGGTAACGCAGCTTATGTAGCAAAGGGATTGCTCACATATC